GACGGACTTCCTTGCTTTTTGACGCACCTAAGGGTACGTATGCCCACCCTACCATGATCCTGATGTTCCACTGAAATCTTCAGGATCCCTACGAGTAGTCCACGGTAGCCTAATCTATATCATTTTTGCGATGCATGGGTTCCCTAGTTGGCGTAAACTAACACATGTTAAACTTTATAATTCATTTATTAACACAAATTATTGGCTAAGACAATATAACTATAATAAGAATTCATATATAGTATGGCTTTGATATTATTATTTTATAGGGTATTGAAGTTGACAAAAGGCTTAAGCCGAATATAAAAACGTGTATCAATTTAATAATTTCAAAAGATATGCCGCTATGCATTAGCATTAGGCGTTAGCCGTAGTAAACATTTTTGGCTCTTCGGCCTAGTAATTTTCCATTTATAAATTATGAGTGCGATATTTGAAAAAAAATAGTAACATGCAAAAAAAACAAAGGTAGGTCAGTAGCAAAGCAACAGCTGTTTACTGCACCATTTCCCAGGTTACGCAGTCATCATGGGCAAAAGATAAGCTTTCGCACCCAAGCCGCAAAGAAAGGGGGAAAAAATAATAATAAAACACTTACAGTTTGCTGCATCCCACGGCGATACTAATTCTACTACTAATTCAAACGGGGAGTATAGGCTATATGATTTGATTTGCCTTCACTTCATGTTCAAATAAAATGGGTAACAAAAAAAAATTCATAATTTTTAAAATTATGTTTTTGCCAGCTTGCACATCGATATGTAAATTCACAAATTAAGCCATTATTTGAACATGATTGAAGTGCATCACTTAGACCATTGAAAGATTATGTAATCTTTTCAGCAGCTATCCACATGGACAAATTCCATGGTGCAAATCCTGGGGCGACGGCATAGGTATCCACCTATAGTCCTCTAAGGGTTTCCCGCCGACCACTGGTAGTCCAAAGACAATCAAAATCGGGGGTCGTTTAATTTTATCTTCTTTAGGCTGATCTTGCAAGCGATGCAGCCATATGTAAGTCCGCGTTTTAATGCTCGCCTTGGCAGACTGAAGTTACGAAAGCTTTTAACTAAAAGCACCTCGATGACCGACCACTTCGCCGAGACTTGAACAATAATGTCCCGAGCTATTGCGGCTAGAAAAACGTCCGATGGCAATTAGAAGTCGATTTAAATGCGCGACTTCGGCCGATCCAATTTAAGCCACTCAAATTTGGGTTAAATAAGGCACAAATGAATATTTTTGCAGGTATTTAATGTAACTTAATTAACAACTCAGTTAATTTTATTTTATTTTATGTGTATTTTATTTTTTGGTACTGACTTTATCAGAAATAAAACTTGGCGCGGTTGAATATAAGCGATCTATGCGCACATCCGACTGCTAGGGCGACCACGAGGAGAAAGGCAGACCTAGGAGACTTTCACAAACAGGAAACCTCGTCTTCCGGAAATTTCTATTACCTCCTTCGTATTCAGCCTTGACCTGTCATTTCTTTCTAACAATCAGCCGAGCCAAACTCCCAAAAATAAACCAACGTACCTTTTTTCTTACTCTTTCCGTCAGCGCACTATTTTCGCCACACTATTAATAGTTGGCGTTGCATACTTCTACGCTGATAAATTTAAGAAGAAACAAAAAAAAATCGTTCAAACGAAAAGCGGCCCACTACAACATTTCATGTACAGAGTATAAAAAGTCAGGCTTCTAATAAGGACCATAGAACAATTGTTCGATTCGACAAATATAGATTAGCTTTAAGCTCTTTAGCACCCTTCAAGCACGAATATATATATATATATATATATATATATATATATATATATATATATATATATATATATATATATATATATATATATATATATATATATATATTAAATTTCAATTGACTAGAATCCTTAAATCGGTTTTTAGCGGTGTAACCGTTTGACATACAAATATGGTCGTTAGGTATGTATCAAGTAAGCGTTATTCAATCAACTGGTTCTATAGAAAAACGAGAGAACGCTAGAGTCCAGCAAGCCCGACAGTGAAATACCCTGTACCCAGGAAAACTTCCGTCACTGAGTTATATGCGCCCATACCAGAAGTAAAAAGAGGAAAAAGAAGAGCGAACTTGTTGCTGCAGTTTGGGGGGTTGTACTGGCCAGAATTTGTTTTGCTAATAACTTTTCTTAGAATTGACCGAATTGAATAATTTAAACAGATAATTACATATAAATTATGTGTGCAAAGTTTGGTTAATGTAACATTTGATATGTGGACGGTATTAACGAAATTCTGTAGCGGGGGAAAATTCCAAAAAATAAAATAAACTTGTCCTTTCTCGGACATAGGAGAATGTGGATACCAACTTTCGTTATTCTAGCTTTTATAGTTTCTGAGATCCTTGCGTTCATCCAGACGGGCGGACGGACATGTCTAAATCGATTTCTCGTCATGCTGATTCAGAATATATATACTTTATGGGGGAGCTGCTTCCTTCTGCATGTTACATACTACAAACCTAATATACCCTTTTTACCCTACGGGTACAGGGTATAAAAAATAAACCTTTGGCGTGAGTCAAGTCCACGTCTCCACATCATCCCTTGTGATTTAATATCGTCACACTTTAAATTTAATATTTTAATATTAAATTTAAAATTTAAGTAACTCCAAGTCAAACAGAGCAGACTTGCTTAAATAATTGCCCTGAAGACGGTTACCGTGGCGTAACCGAAATATATCGGAAAAAGAAAAGAAAATTAAATAAATTGGTTTTTCTTACTCTGACCTCGAGCCGGCCAAACAATAAAAATAAATTTAAAATTTAAGTGTGCACACTTCATATTTACTATAACACACGATGGTACAAAATCGATGGCAAAAATAGTTAAGTCTACGTGTAAATATTGAAATTTCCGTGGTTTTTTATACTCTGTACATGAAATGTACAAGAGTATATTAGGTTTGCGGGAGCTGAAAAATGTAACAGGCAGAAGGAGGCGTGGCAGACCCCACAAAGTATACATATTCTTGATCAGCATGACAAGACGAGTCGATCTAGCCCTGTCTGTCTGTCCGTCCGTATGAACACCTGGATCTCAGAGACTATAAGAGATAGAGACACCAAATTTTGCACAAAGATGCGTTATGTGTATATTCTATACGAGTTTGTTTTATTTTTTTTATTTTCCCCCCCACTTCCCCCCTATGGGGGTTTTCCCGATTTTCCATTCGTATAATCGCCTATATCTCGGAGACTATAAGACCTAGGAACACCAAATTTTAGTCCCAGATGCCTTATGTGAATACGCAGAAAATGTATATTTTGGAATTCCCCTCCCTCCCCCCTCTACCCCGCAAATCGTAACTCCCGTAATTCTTGGAATTTCGAACTAAAATTTTGGAAATACCCCCAGTTGGTTATTATGTGTCCGTATGCCGTATTTCATTATGATAGACCGATTTAACAAGAAGTTATAGCCATAAATATATTTGCTGATGCAGCGCTGCTGCAGCGCTGCTCAAGCGCTGCCCGCGGCTGTTGTTGATGTTGCTGTTTGGTTGACTGCGAAAATGCTTACACAGACACGAATAGATGCGCATAGGCATACATACACTCACACAGACGCAATTGCTATGTAAATGTGGAATTATAAACCCTTTACGTGAGTTCGAATACCGAGAGAGGTAAAATCGATCAATTTTTATAGCCTGTACCCAAAGGGTGAAAGGCTATACTAGTTTTGTGCGCATGTATGTAACACACAGAAGGAGGCTTGGCAGACCCCACAAAGTATATATATTCTTGATCAGGATGAGAAGCCGAGTCGATATAGCCTTGTCCGTCCGTCCGTCTGTCTGTCCGTATGAACGCAAGGATCTCAGAAAGTATAAGAGCTAGAATAACCAAACTTGGTTTCCATATTCTCCTAAGACCGAGAAAGTACGATTTTGAGTTTTTTTTCGATGCACCCCCCCACTCCCCCGCAATTCGTGTTTTTTCTTATAACTTCCGTAATTCTCGGAATTTTGAAATCAATTTTGGTATGTACATCCAGTTAGTACTAATGTGTCCGTGTGCCAAATTTCATCATGATAGGTCAATTCTGAAGAAAGTTATAGCCATAAGTAAAATCGCTGCTCATGTGCTGCCTGCAGCTCTGTCGGCAGCGCTTCCCGCAGCTGTTGTTGTTGTTGCTGCTTTTGTTCAACTTTGTGCTGCATACATACACGCATATAAACACGCATAGGTACGTGATGTAAATGTATGCTGTTTAAACTGAACATAAACATGTATTCTAATTTAATTTAATTAATTAATTCATTCATTTTTTTAATAATTTAATTTTTTTTATTTATTTTTTTTTTTTTAATTTTTCCTTTGTGGAGAGTACAGGCTATTTTACTGTCGGGCTTGCTCGACTGTTTTGTAATTATTGTAAGCATATGTACAGAGTATTTCAAAGTCGGGACACCCGACTTTAGCTTTTTTACTTGTTTTATCAATGAACAATATCTTTGTCAACAGCTATCGGAGAATAGAGTTACCAAAACCCAGAGACGGAGCTCTCACTCATCATCTCCAACATCCGTCGAATTACAGGTCAAACTTAGCACCCATTGACACATTTATACCCAATGAATGCTTGGAGATTGAGTGGAAGCTGAATTTTTTCCAATCTAATTTACAGTATAGAGAGGTCACCTGTAAATGAAAAGACTACAGATAAAATAATAATGGATATGCTTCCTTCTCTCTGTTACAATGTAGCCGCTTAAATCTTCGGGGAATTCGTACAGCTTGTACGATTCCTGATAATTGAAAAACGAAGCAATCGTAGCGTTATTCAAACTTAAATATTTTAAAAGACTGAATATTAAAGAATTAATTAAACCTTGTAACATTAATCAAATAATAAAGTAATTTCCAACTAATTTTCCAATTTGCAATTTGCGATGTGCGAAGCAAAATGCTGCACATGCTCACAAGTATAAACGAGTTTTCTTGCATTTTCGCATGCTTCCAATTTGAGAGGAAAAGTTGTCTTTATTATGAAAATCAATATAATATTATAATTGTCGTACAAAATTCATTTTAGTATTGTGATTATAGTCTTAGACTTTGGGGTTATTAAATTTGAGTGCTTCATGTTAAGGAAATATGTGCGATATATGTATCTATGTAGTATATGTGGGTTTACTTTTTAGGTCTAAAGCAAAAATGTTGATGTGAAAAGCCCGTTAAATACCAAAAATGGACTACAACATTTTTATTTAAAGATGCATTAATAAACAATCGCAATAATAAGCGTTATGCACAAAGAGATCAACTTATTTAGAACATTTCGGGGGTCCTTTCTAAGTATTTACAATAAGAAAACATTAAACATTTCTATAAGTGTGTTGTTATTATTAAACTAGAGAGCTTCCTTGGAGTAATAATAAAGTACACAAAAACTGGTAAACACGATTATGTTGCATTGCCATAATTATAAGTACTATTTATTTGTTTAAATTGTTGTTGCTGTTGTTGTTCCACCAAATGCGCGTGCTTGCTCGTTAGCCATGTTCGTTCTGTCAGTCCGTCTGAGGGAAGGGAGTCGGTGAGTCCTTTAGTGTCGATCTAGCGACGCTTGCCGAATCGCAGGAAAACGTGATCCACATCGGTACGTTTGTTGTAGTTTTTCAGCAGATCATCAGAGTTGGTCATCAGGGCTATAATATGATGCTGTACACATTCCCCTATTAGAGTTATCAAAATATATATGCTTACCTGATGCTTCATTATTGATGTAGGATTTGAGGGCCGTTGTCAATTGATCTGAATTCTCTAGCGCCATGCAGACTTTCTTGATGTGTGTGGGCATCTCCTCGAGAATGCCGGGCTGGCAAAGAGGAGCCTGTGTCGCCGCCTCCGTTGCATGCAAGGACACGGAAATCAGCACAATAGCAAGGCAGCTGGCAACAAAGAACTGTACGTAGGACATGCTGCAAAGGCAAAGGAGAGAAATTTAATATAGGACAAGCAACATTCTCAATTATCGACATTGTAGCAGCAACAAGAGTATTAAGTTATTCACAGGGAGGTAAGATTTATCTCACTGTCCCCCCACTTCGTTCAAAGAGCTCCCTCACGCCCGCTTCACTCTCTTCACTCCCTCAACTAATTTTGATTAAGTGTGATGATCCTTGCCTTAAGGTACGTGACTGCCTTTTAGGGCTAATGCTTCAAGTGCTGCCCCTGTTGCCATGGCAGTAGCAAAATGAGTTATGCGAATAGCTATAATATATATAATTTGCCCTGCAGCCGGGATTGCTTTATAGCTCCGTGTTGCAGCGTTCAATTTAATATCCATGCTGCAACTGCTGACAGCAGAGCTTCGCTGTAAATATGAAAGCAACAGGTAAGCTGACGCTGATGCGCGCTAATAAGTTTGAACGACGCACAATTTGTTTCTATTAGGCTCTGGGACAGTGATAAATCTTTACATACTCGGCTATACGCACTCTGTCGGGCATTGCAATTTGAAGCGGTTGCTATGCTAGGGCTGGCGGGTGTGCCATGAAGAGGGTTAGGGAGTGATGGGGGTTCGTAACATGCCTCTACACGCGTACGTGTTGCTGGTACGTTTGCTTAGCTTAGGAGCTCATGCATCCATGTGTCGTTATTTTCTGAAGACTTAGGGACAACTCCAATTTTGCAGTGTCAGTCACGCATGCAGTTCGCATGATTGGTGGGTTAATAATTTCCAATACTATCAACCTATTGTTAACCAAGATCGCGACCACTTACAAATACATTCTCCCTCTAGCACAGATGAGTTCGCATCAATTATTTGAAACCATTTAAATGGTGTGGTGGAAATAATCTGCATTGAGCAGCTTAAAGTTTTTAGCATTTAATCATCATTTTCATTCATTTAAATGGAATCATATAGAATTATGATAAGAATGAAATAATAATGAAATAAGGAGAATTTTCGTGCTAAAACTATAAAACCTTCATTATCTCAATTGAGTAGCTTAAAGTTTTGAGCATTTTAAAGTAAATAATCATAACTTTCAATATGACTGGCATTCATTTAAATCGGCATATAGATTATTATAAGAATGAAATAATGAAAATTTTCGTGCTGAACCATAAAATCTTCATTATCTCAATGCAGATATTGAGATATATTAAAGTTTTGAGCATTTAAAAAGTAAGTTATCATAATTTTTAATATGGCTGGCATTCTTTTATGATAATAATGAAATAAGAAAATGTTGGTGCTGCAATTATAAATGCAGATATTGAGCACCTAAAAGTTTTAAGCATTTCTTGGATTGTTATACCTATTTATTTCTCTAATAACTAAATGGTAACTAAGCCATATGATCGAAATGTTGACTAACTACACAGAGAACAAAGCCTGGAATGGAGCTCTGATAAGATATGATTGGTTGCGATAAAAAAAATAAAGGGACATTGCAAAATTTCAGCTTCATATAAGAAAATGTGAATGAATATAATATAATAATATATAATATTGCTTGGATTAACTGGGCAACTGAAACATGAATCATTTTGAGCAATTTATCTTTATACAGAGCTTTGTAACATATAGATATTATAAAACAGCTCCATTCTTTCGGAAACCATCACAACAATCTATACTGCAAAAGCTACAGAAGTTTTCAAATTTTGTCGATTAAAAAAGCCTTGATAGCCATTTTTATTATATGACAAATATTTTTGTTCAACGATTTTATGTTTTTTTACTTACATGTTTAGGGATAGTTTTGGGTATCTGGTCCTGGTGGATAAAGTAGAATATCAAGTATTGATAAACTTTAAGAAATCACACACGTATCGCACAAATTTCTTCTTACTCACAGAGCTCACTAAGACTCGAACTTGTTGAACGCTAGCACTCGAATGACAACTGCCAACGACAGGACATCCGCTTTTATTCACTTCCGTTGCGCTGCACAGAGAGTAAATGCAAAGCTGCCATTGGCTAGACAGACACGCACACACAGACCACATGTTGCGCTTTCATATAAATGCACATACACAGACACATTAATAGGAGGGGACGAAGGGCAGCCATATGGAGGGCGTGCTCAAATATTGCTCATACGCCAACCTCTAAAAGGACATTCACGGTGTGATGCTTTGTACTTAGCCGCTGTTGCAACTTTCAGATAATAGGCACACATGCTGCACATGTGGCAAGTTTTCAATATGATTATCTATTATATAACTTTATCAACTTTTATCGATGTTGTTAAAGCCAGTTCCACCTACTTGCTGCGATGTTTATAGGTAGTTATTAATGGAGCATTTATGGCCATCATTCTCTCCTCAGAGTGACGCATAACATCGAGTGGCGCGCTTAAAGAGTACGCTCTTTAAGTCCATCCTAAAATTTCAGGATACCCAGGTTCATGGCACGGCTGTTGATTTGCGTAAGTCAAGTAATCTTCAGTTTATGATGCTGGGATTTGCAAACGAACTGTGGCAATTAATCTGCCATGGAGCGTGTTCGGCTTACAAACTATTCGAGAAGTTAAAACTGTGACGTGTCACGCGGATTGAAAGCAACAGGCGGCAGTGTGGGCGATATCTGCGTTTTTAGCTAAATTGTGAAAATTACACATTAGATAAATTAAATTTGGCATATTAGAGGCCATTAGAACGACTCGTGCTAGCATGGAAACCACATTGTATTTCAGCATAGCACAGTGGGACAATTTTTAGATAAGGGTGCGAAAAATATGTTGACCAACTTCAGAAACCTTAAACATTTTTAAGTTGTCGGTCTCTCCCGTTCGAAGATTTGATACAAACTTTTTGTGAAGTTAAACCTGTTACGCATAATGTGGATTGGAAGCAACAGGAGAGTGGACGATATTCCCGTTCTTGGTCTATGCGTATACCTAATGTGTATAAAAAAATACTCGATTTTATTAAATTCAATTACTACATGTTTACTATTATTTCTGTTCATGAACAAATACTGTGGTGGCATTTAAACCTTTCCGGAGTACGGCCTACCTACTTAATATAAACTACCATAATCACCTTAAGTACGAGTACATGAAACAGTCCGTCGGCTAATTGTAGTTTTTTAAATATGTCCTTGCATCTTAGATTTGCAATTAATATTTTATCTATGAAGTTTCTAACTACGAGAAGAACTGATCGGTCCCGTGGCAATTGTAAGGGAAACCAAATATAATGGTACGGTTGAGAAAGAGAGAGAGAGAGAGAGAGAGAGAGAGAGAGAGAGACAGAAATGTAAATGAAAATAATTAAGAAAATCGGTTGATACTACTAGGAAAATGTGTGAATATATTAAATATGACCTGAGTCAATTGTTTAGAAAGATAAATATTTGAATGAACTGCAGTGCGAAGAGGATAAGAATAAAAATTTTGAAATACACTTGAACTGATAAGACATACTTAGTACACATAAGGCTTAAGGTCTTAAATATTAACAAGAGAGAACGCTACAGTGAACAAGCCCGACAATGAAATAAACTGTACCCATGTAAACTTCCGGCGCTGACCTCAGTGCTTCTAGCAGAAGCAAAAGGACGAAGAAGAGCGAACTTGATGCTGCAGCTTGTGGGCGTAGTACCGAAGTAAAATTGTTTCGATAATAACTTTTCTTAGAACTAACCGAAAGTTTGGTTAGGGTAGCTTTTAAAATGTGGACGGTATTGACAAGATTCTGTAGCGGGGGAAGGCGGGAAAATTCCAAAAAATAAAATATACTCGTCCTTTCTCGGACCTTGGAGAAACTGGATACCAACTTTGGTTATTCTAGCTTTTATAGTTTCTGAGATCCTTGCGTTCATCCAGACAGACGGACAGACGGACGGACATGTCTAGATCGATTTCTCTCGTCATGCTGATTCAGAATATATATACTTTATGGGGTCGGAGATGCTTCCTTCTGCATGTTACATACAGCCTGTCAACTAATTGTTTGCAAAATGAAATATGTCACAAAAATTCAACTTTGCACAAACCTAATATACCCTTTTTACCCTACGGGTACAGGGTATAAAAAGTCGGTCTTGGGAGTTCAATTTATCCCATTTTTTTTAGCGAACTATATTATTTCCATATTTTGTTGTGAACAAAACTACGACTTGAGTTAGTTTGTATTTACACAATTACAAACTGAGGGGACATTTTACCTCAATTAAGCACTCCATTTATTTAATTTTCTTGAAATCACTTTCAAACAAGAGAGAACGCTACAGTCGAGCAAGCCCGACAGTGAAATACCCTGTACCCATATAAACTTCCGGCACTGAGTATGCACCTCTAGAAGAAGCAAAAAGAAGAAGAAGAACGGCAGTTTGTGGGCTTAGTATTGGAGTAAAATTGTTTCGCTAATAACTTTTCGTAAAAAGAACTGATTTTGGTGAAATTCGAACGAAAAGTAGATAATAATAATTGTCCGCCCAAGGGGAGTATCCGCTTAAGGGGATACTTAAATACTTTATACACCGATCGAATGTTTAAGAAAAAGTGTCCGCCGAAGAGAGTGTCCGGATAAAAGATTGATTGCTCGTTTATGTAGCATGAAATGTGGACAGTGTTGACAGTAATGAACTTATGTAGCGGAGAGAGGGCGAGGAAAATTAAAAAAAAAAAATAAATAAACTGGGGGCCAGGGTATACAAATAAAAGTAGCATAAAACTATTTTCAAACTAATGATAATTGGATCGCGTGGTATTGAGAACAGCAACTTCATAAAATACTCGTATTCGGCATACATACTTGTATATTTTGAGTTAAATATAAAAAAAACGTTTTTGTTTCCTTGCCCTATTATCGCAAACCACTGTGGCGCAACATCCTAGGCAGAACATATGCCCACGCTAATTGGGTTACACATTTGCGGCCTTTTGATGTTGAGTGCACAAATCAGGCCAAATAGTGCAACTGCTGTGGTTTCTGGTACACGAGTGTGGGTCTACAAGTATTTGGTTGGGTGCGCGTGTGTGTGGGTCTGACCATATGAAACCTCTGTTCCGGCCATCGAAAGTGCCGACAACAATGTCACACGAAATTTGCACATCATTTGAATAAACTGATTGAGTTTTAGTTGCGCCCGTGGCAAAACCGAACGGCGGGCCATAGTTCCTAATCATTGGCATTTCGATTTCTGGAGACTTCAATCAAAATCCATGAACATACATTAACATTTAAATTGCGAATCTAGCGGCCTACGCACCAAAACTGTTGGATAATATGTCTCTGGCAGAGGACTGTCATTTATAAATTTATTTTAATTGAAACTCATGATAGTACATACATACATACATACATACATATACGTGTATGAATAAAGCCAATAATATACATATGTATGTATGTACAAGAGGTATTCAGAGTTTTTTCAGAGCTATAGTTCCAAATATATTTCTACTTCCATATATTAACAATGATACTAGTTCGATAATTTCATAGCTCTTTTATAGCCATTATAGTGATGTTGTTTTATTCGTTAAAAATCACTAATGAAATAATTTTTCAATGTAGTTACCAGTGTATTATATATGTATGTATATGTCTATATAGTATATTCTTTGAGCAAGTCCTGCATAAATACCCTAAGGGCAATTAAGATTAGCAACTAGTCCAATAGCTTGGCCACAATAGGGTCGGGGGCACTCATTGCATAGCCCAAGTGTTGCAGGGCTCGTCGTATTTCAATGAAGACACTAGCATCATCGATAGTCGCTGGAAGGACGACACGTTCGTTCTTGGCGAAATCTGCCATAGCCTTGCGCATAGTTTTCCCAGAACGCGTCCGTGGCAAGTTGTTCACCGATGTAATCAGACGAAATGCCGCTATTGGACCCACAACATCCCGTATAAGTTTGATAATCTCCGCTGATAGCTTGGCATCAGTTTTCGTGCATCCCTCGACGGGGATGTACAGACAGAGCGGCACTTGGCCCTTGGTTGCTTCCGGTACTCCGAACACGGCAACATCCACGACGTCTGGATGGCGCAGCACAGCGTCTTCCAAGCTAGAAGTGGATAGCCGATGCCCGGCCACATTGATGACATCATCATCGCGAGCGGTTACGAAGACATAGCCCAGCTCATCCCTATAGCCAGCGTCCATGGTATCGTAGTAACCCTAGAATATATGATTCTTTAAACACTACATCCACTGTGAAATATATTTAATGAGCAATACCGGAAACTTTTGAAAGTATAGCTTGCGGTAGAGGTCATCACTTCTATAAAGAGTAGCCATATTTCCTGGAGGAAGTGGCAGTTTAAGCACAATACGACCCAATTCCATGGGCTGCGATTCCGTGCCATCGGGCTTGAGTACTTTGACTGAAAAGATAGCGTGTTAAATGAGCAACTAACAGATCAGTAAGAGGTACAGCTTTAATGTAGTTTACTTACTGTCGTAGCCAACTAAGGGTAAGCCGGTGGAATACATTGGTGGGTCAAGATTCTGGTTGAAGCCTAAACAGGTGGCTGTGACCGCCGAGCCCGTCTCCGTCTGCCACCAATGATTTAGCACCGGCACCTTGAACGTTTTCTGTATCCACATCTTAGTCTCGAAGTCACAATGCTCGCCAGCAATGAAAATAGCACGCAATGATTTCATGGAATACTGGCGACCATAGCTAATATCTGGATCTGCGCGGCGAATGACACGAAAAGAGGTCGGCACCGAAAAAATGGAGCAAACCTTATGTTGATCTATAATTCTGTAAGTATGAGCAAATAATTATCAGAACCTAACTTAGAAAATGGATCCCAACGGACTCACCTAAAGTACTGTCCGGGGTCTGGAGTGCGATCCGGTTTTCCTTCATACATAACACTGGTAGCTCCCAGACACAATGGACCATAGCAAATGTACGAGTGACCCACCACCCATCCCATATCAGAGGCAGCCCACCAAGTGTCTCCCGCATTAACACCATAGATCTTATTCAAAGTGTACATCAAAGCCACCAAGTGGCCGCCAATGGTGCGCAGCACACCCTTGGGTTTGTTCGTGGTTCCTGAGGTGTAGAGTATATAGAGCGGATCGTTTGCCTCGATGGGTACGCAAGGCACCGCCTGACCGCCCTTGCCCATATTGAGCACACTGGACCACAATAGATCGCTCTGCGCATCCAGCACACCAGGAGATGTCACTTTTTCGCGCATATAGATAATGTGTTTTTCTGGCTTCCAGCGAGACATGTTGATTGCTGAATGCATAATATCCAGGTAGGGCACCACCTTCCCCGGTTCTACGCCCGCATTGGCTGCTATTACTATCTTCGGTTCCACATGTTCAATGCGAGAGCAAAGCTCCCGGGCCGCAAAGCCGCCAAAGACAACGGAATGCACGGCACCGAGTCGCACAACGGCAAGCATCGCGATTATCGTTTCCGGTATGAGAGGCATATAAATGACGACACGGTCGCCCTTCTCCACTCCCAGTTTGGTCAGCCCACCGGCCAGCAATATTATTTGATCGTATAACTCCTGATAGGTCACATGTCGGATGGTGTCTGTCAGCGGACTGTCGTGAATAAGCGCCACCTTATCGCCCTTGCCGGCCAAGATGTGACGGTCGATGGCATTATAGCAGGCATTCAAATAGCCGCCCACATACCATTTGGTAAAGGGTGGGTTACTATTGTCCAGGACCTGTTTCCAAGGCCGGTCCCAATCTAGTAGTTTGCCCAACTGCTCCCAGAATGCCGCGGGGTTTTGTATGGACCGACGATATGCGTCCAAGTAGCTCGGATCGTGCGCTTCGACTGGCATTCCATTTATTGAAGCACCTGTGGACAAACACACACACATAATATACTATATAATATATACATACATCGTGAATAGTTTTCATTTTCTTTCACAATGTAACAGTTCATTGGCCTTCAAGTGAAGATCGTTCGTAGAGTGGGCTCATTAAGTATATCACTGCATAAATTTGGGCAAACGTAGAGCTCCAAATCAACTAAACTAATTTATACTTTAAGCGATCGCCGGAGCCCGTGTCTACTTACACCGATTAGCAATTGAATTTAAAATGCTTTATAGACAGTCTCGGTCACCTGCCCGATATCACAAGGTTTTCGTCAATGCATATATATACATATAATATATATAGTATACGGGTTTAAGCATTAAACAGAGCATAATTAAGTCGCCATTTATATGATGCAACATATTATTTGAATTATTTTTTAACTGTTTTATAAATCATAGTTTAGAATGGAATTACACTCGAGAATAACAAATTGAATTGAAAATTCCAATGTATTTACAATTTTACTTTGCCAGACTTTTGGGCTATGACGCAGCAGTATCAGGTGCGCTATATAATTCATTCATAGCCACCCAGTTCGATTTTTCAATATCACACTATTTATTGTTCAGTTATTTAAACTTACTACCTGAATCACTGACATTATTCGTGGCACCTAGCTCCATTTTTTTAATAAACTTGATTTACTAATCGGTTTATATATATAAGAGGCTTTTTATATATATGGATATATAATATATGAGTACTATATTTTTTGAATCTATCCAAAACTCAGCGCCACACAACCGTCGTATTTTAGTCGAGACTTTGCAATGAATTGAAAAAATGTGAGCAGCACATAAAAACCCAACTTAAAGCCCTTTCTGTATGGAAACGTTGGTACAAAGGTTTTTTCACTCATTCCCCCAAAGAGAAATTGAGAGAATCGACGATCCAATCAAAATAAAGGAAGAGTGATTTCATGGGGTACAATTTGAATTTTTCTATCAAAATACTACGTTTTCTCCAATACAAAATTTACTCTTTAAGCAAACCAATCCAATAAGAATGTCGAAAATATAAATCAACTTGCCTAAATGATATCAATTAAAAAAGCAAGCCTAAAAATCGTACATTGAATTAAAAATGTAAGACTTAATAATTTTCTGATTATAGTACTTATATTCTTTGCAATCATACATGTTACGAACATTTATTATATTTTGTTGGCTATTTTTTCTTCTGGTTCTTCTTAGTCTTTTTTGTGGGTGGCGGAGCAGCAACATCGGCGGCACTCTCCGATCCTGTTTCTACGCTAAATCCCTTGATATAGGGTTTGACCAAGCGGAATACCAATTTCTCATGTTGCACATTGCTCGAGTCCAGACTTAATCGGACAGTAACCGGATCAAAGGAATGGAAAACAACGTTTCCACAACGCTGCGTATGATCTTCTTCACTGAAAGTGAACACAACTGTGCTCTTCGCTCGCTCATGTCCATCCTTGCCGTCTTTGTCGGTCTTCAGATAGAGTGTACCCTCCAGTCCATATTTAGGTATGAGTACTTGCAGAGCATTTTTACGTACAAAGAGCACATAGCTTCAAAATACAGAGAATATACAGAGTAACAGTTTTGCCCAAGAGATTTTTTGAACAATGACCTACCCCTCCTCATCCTCCTCCTTGCCACGGAAAAATAAGTGCGTGTTGAGCCCGACTGAAGCTCGTCCGGCGTATTGCGCCATTTTATGACGATAATTCAAATTGTGGCACAGTTCCTCATTCGATTTGCGTTCAAGCAGCTGTGCATAGGTGCTATCAGCTCCAATTGAAGCGGCCAGCAAGCGGTGCACCATAATGTCCGAGTATCGTCGAATAGGTGACGTAAAATGCGTATAAATCGGCGCAGCTAACCCATAGTGGAAAAATTCCTCCTTCTGCAAGCTGCCGCTAATAAAATAGACGGCCTGCATCATGCAACGGGTAGTCAGTATTCGTATCATGGTATTGAAATACGGATTATCCGCCTTCACACATTTATCCAGCGAATGGGACAGTGACAGACCAGTTTCCGTTTCGATTTCAAAGCCCTGGTAACGCGCTGCCTTGATCAGCGGGTCAAAATTCGTTGTCGGTGGTTTTGGATGGCGACGCAGCACCGCGCACTCTGAAAATTCGGCAGCAATATGCTCCGCCACGGATATATTTGCCAACAACATAAACTCCTCGACCATGGAATTGGTATCGCGCAGCTGTTTGACCTCAACTTCAAGTGGTTCATGCGTTTCGCTGTCCACCTGGAACCGAATCTCTGGGGATGCCAATACTAGCGCGCTAAAATCGAAAAAAGTTAATTAGTTGCCTTTCCAGAACAATGGACTTACCCATTGTCCATTCGTCGTTTTTTCAGAATCTTAGCTAGACGATTCAAATGACGCAACGACTTGGCAATTTCGTTATCCTGTGTGCTATCATCGATCAGAACCTGGGCCTCTTCGTATGTCATAGCGCGCTTCGATTTGATGACACTCTTGTGAAAGCGTTTCTTAATAATATTCGCTTCCTTGTCCATTTCCCACACGCATGAGAAGGCAAAACGCTCCACACCGCCAACAAGCGAGCACAGATTGGAACTCAAAAGCTCGGGAACCATGTCAATGCGTTTGCCAACCAAATAAACGGTAGTACCGCGGGCAGCAGCCTCCTTGTCCAGCGCATTACCAGGCCGTATAAAATGGCTCACATCTGCGATGTGTACGCCCACCTCAAGATTTCCATTTTCTAGCTCGCGGCAATGCAGTGCGTCGTCGATATCTGTGCACCCTGGCGGATCTACAGAACAGATGTACAGGTCCCGCAAATCCACTCTCTTAGCATAATCCTCTGGCGTGATCGTCCAAGGCATTTTTGGCAAAAAACTCAGTACCTCCTCGGAGAATTTGCAATGCGGTACATCGTGCTCCAGCAATATGACTTCATTTTCAGTGTTCATGTCACCCAAGGGACCCAGAGAGCGCACAAAGTGCCCATGCGGATATCGAGAATTTCTTGGCCAATTATCAATGGTTACAATGATACGTTGATTTTGCAACGTTGCCGCTTGGCGTGTCTCTATCCGTATCCGCGGAATTTTCCGATCAGCAGGCACGAAAATATGCCTGCTAGTATCCTCTATCAGGCTAGGCTGCAAAATGCCGCAATACTGACGCCACTTTCGTCGAACAATGCCTACAATACGACCAGTAGGAGTGCGTTCAGCATCGACAACAGCTGCAGCGCGCACCTGCTGAAGCATGACCTTCTCCTCTTCCGTGCGCTCCTCGCTGGGCAAGTCGTCTGCATAGACATTCTTTTCCTCTAATACAATTTCACTGGGAGCTGACCATTCGCTTTGGGGCAATAGCTCAATAGCTACGATGTCGCCGTCGACTGCGCGGTTGAGAGACTCACGCCCTTGTATTAAAATCTATATAGGATGTGAACGTATATAGTAATGGAATAATGGAATAACATCCATATTGCTTACCCCCTTCTCGTACTGCTCCACGTTGACATTACCTTCCAAGTAATTCTCTCGGGAGGCCTGAAAAGAGCCTTGCAGCAACTTCTTTTGCTTTAGCCCCTCAAGTATTTCTCGCAAGCTCAAATGAGGCGGATACTGTGGCAGAGCCTGTTTCTCATTTGCAAATGTCTTGTGCGACAATTTATCCGCTAGTAGCGGATGATCAGACAGCGACTTCACATATTCCGATGCTGTGGCCACCAAAATATCCTCCGCCTCAGCCTTGGCACGGTTTCCAGCATCGTCAGTCAACAATACCACACGAGTCACTTGCCGACCACTTCGTTGAAAGGACTTCGACACTTGGGAGGATTTCAAATGGTTGTCGTACCATTTAGTAGCTATGCGTATGGCGCGATCATTGCGATCGTTTGCTGTCTCATCTGGTTCGCGGTCAGCATATGTGTCCCTTTTAAAATGGAGCATATTCATATATTAGCGCATAGCGATTAAATATATATAACCACTTACTTGTGATGTTCATTGACAAACACGTAAAAGTTGCGACGACGATCATGAATGATTTCATTAATTCGCTTGTAGATTGACGAACTCTTGTGCTTCACTTCATTCAGAACCGTTGTCAGGATAATTACATTACGCAGCACATCCTCCTCCAGCACATCGATTTGATCCAGTACCACATTTGTGTCCAGGACAAGATAATGTGGATATTTGAAGAGACTACTTTGGAGATCGTGGTCCGCAGTCAAGGCGTAAACATCGTTTTGGAAGCAATGTTGACAGATATCTGAGCCGCATCCGATATCATCGCGAAGATAATGTTCCCGTACAATTTTCAGTATGTTCCCGCGTTTTGTTTTACGCGTAAATTCGCGTAAAGTTTGCATTTTAACTGAAAAGACTTTTAAATGCACGCAAACTCACATGCGTACCGAAACAAAGGGTACCTTACACGTTCAGATGTCTATAACGTGCATCAAATCACTTAGAAATCTCAAATACTTTATTATGTCCATCATAATTTACAAGTATTCTGCATAATATCTACTTAATATAATTTAATTTTTTATATCCAATTGGTTTGCGCTTGCTTTTCATAAATTAACATTTATAAACGTATGTAGGTTATTTATTCGTCGCGTTTGCGCGCGCATGCTTCATTGTGTTTATACTTATACGCCCCCTATTGCTTACCTTTAAGACGTTGCGCAACACTAGTAGTCTTCTATTCGATTCTGCACGTGTGGGCACGTTCTTGGGCCTTTTAAACATTTTAAATTGCCGCATAACTTTTATATAAAATGGCTTTGGCCGAGAAATGTTTCCCGCGAGGCGGAACCATTCATAAACCTGCTAATACCATAGATGGCACTTCAAATATCGTAAGTAAATGCCTAAATTCTCCTGCACAAAATTGTGCCGTTTAAAACGTGTTTTGCGCCTTCCAGATTTTTGGTGCCACACAAAAAAAGACGAAAAAGACACCAAAATCCAAGGACAACCATCTCAAAGGTCTTAACAACGATGAAGGCGAGCAATTGCAATCCTCTTATGCGGAAACGCTCACATTCGATACTCTTCAGGACGATATGCTGGTTATGGGCGTTGTAAAGAACACCAGCGCTACATCCTTGGACATTGCACTGCCGGGGCGCTTGACAGCACGAACTCTTGTCGCTGACATATCTGATGCGTACTCAAGAGTGGCAAAGGCAGCCATGGACGGCGACTTAAGTGAATACAATGCACTGACAGAGCTTTTCGCCGTGGGTCGCATTGTTTATGGTCGAGCTATCAAAACTGAAAAGTTTAATAACAGTCGCACAAGGCTGCTCTTAAACCTTAAGCCCGTCGATGTGCACACTGGCTTACTGCATACTAACATTAAGAAGGGCTTCATCTTTACGGGCGCTATACATGAAATTCAGGAGCACGGCTACGTTATTGAAACGGGAATTGAAGGACTGCATGCTTTTCTAGCAATGGAAGAGCGAGCGTCAAAAGAATTGCGCCACATGGGTGAACTGGTGTCCTTAAAAGTCAAACAAATTCATCATACCGATACTCAGAGTACTTGCACATGCGTCGCAGTGGACCAGGCTGGCCTGAAGATCAAGAGCCAGAATGAATGCAATTTGGATTACATACTGCCCGGCAGCATACTTAAGTTTAAGGTGGGCAAGCATATTAAGAATGGCTTGCAAGGCACTATTATGCATGAATCGTTCACGGCCTATGTAAATGAACATCATTTGGCGGAGGCCTTGCACGTACCGGAGGATTATGAATTAAATGCAGAGTACGAGGCACGGGTGCTCTATATAATGCCATTGACGAAATTAGTCTATTTAACTCTAAATCTGAACATTGAAGTTATGAATCACCTGTTTCCCGCAGGCGGCGAGGATGAAGAAGAAGACCAAACCGAGCAGGTAGAAGGGGAGCCCCTGAAGAGGGGCAGCGTCGTCGAGAAGGCCAAAGTGATGCGATTAGGCACCGGCGGTGTTATATTGCTACTTAACAAAAAATTTAAAGGTCTTATTTCCTATGGATCCATCAAAACCAACTACAAAGGCAATTACGATAATGATGAAGTGTTGGCAAAATATGCACGCAAATCCAAACACAAGGTTCGCATCCTGGGCTACGATGTAATCGAGGCTCTCTACTACTGCACCGACGATCAGAATGTAATCAATGAGAAATATTTCGCCCTGGAGGACATAGAACCTGGTGAGGTAGTGACCGCAAAGATAGTTAAACTTGACGAAAAAATTGGTGGCTATGATGTAAAGATTGGAAACCTAAAGGGCGTCATTGAGAAACTGTTTTTGGCGCCCAACATTAAATACGATGTTGGTTTGCGCCTGCGTTGTCGCATTGTGGACGTAAATATGGATCGCAAGATTTGCTATCTGACCAATCGTGCTGAGTATCTAGACAAGAGTGTGAAGGTGCTGACGTCGCTGCAGGCAGCACAGGTGGGCAATTCCTACATGGGTACCATCGTTAAATGTGACCCAAATTATGTGCTAGTCAAGTTCTTCAATGGCATCAAGGGTGTGCTGCATATGCACCGACTTATTGGCTTCGTGGCCACCGATCCGAACTCGTTCGTCGAAGGACAGACCACCAAGTTCCGAATCTTCAGCAGAAACGACGAACAAATTGCCCTAACGCTGCCTGAGGACAAATTCCATGTGGGCGAAATATGTCCCACAGAGGTGACCAACACACTTGATGCTGGTCTGGAAATAAAAATCACCTATGCCGGCGATGAGGAGCAACAGGAACAGGAAGTTGAAGAGTTCATAGGTTTAATTCCATTGCGCTTACTCTCCGATCACTTGGACCTACTGGAGGCACAGAGGCGTATTCATGCCGCGGGCTCAAAAATCAAAGCTGCTTGTATAACGCAAAACATATTCAGTTTACGGGATGTGCCCTATTTCAGTGAAAACTTGACCAAGAATTGGCAAACCGTCCAGGTTGGAGATGTCCTGCGTGCCTATGTGAAAAATGCCACCGACAAGGTTATCGATCTTTTGGTACCCGTCCGCAATTACAACAAACTGGTCAAAGTACATGTAAAGATGTTACGCTTGAATGCTGTTCGTCATGTGCCAATTGCATTGGCTCCAGAACAGGTGCTCTACGTGAAGGTCCTCAGTAAGGAAGTGGAGACCCACACACTCACAGTATCCGCTAAACTGACAGATGTGTGGAAGGGGCAGTTGAACGAGACGGCACAGTTTGTGGAAAGGTATGTGAAATCTAGCCAATGCTCGGTGTTATATTCTAGGACACCCATTTGTCCTTTAGTTATCGGGTGTGAAAAGTAAAAAGTACCTGAAATGCATGATTTAAAATATTCTTCAGTGTATTTAGTCAGCAATTATAAACTTGTTATAAATTCATCGACGCTAATGTATGTTATATTTGCTTTGCAGCTATCTCAAGGAAGTGGCAGAGATAAGGAAGGCATTGAAGAAACAAAACGCTCCCATAGCCAAGAACATCATTGGCGAGCAAGTAAATGTAGTATTCAAAGGCGTACATCCCGAGACCAATGACTGGATTTATACAGTGGAAGGTTCTTCTCTAACAGCAATACTTAAGTACCACTTGGCAGGTTTGGCGCCAAAAACACCTGAAATGGGTAAGAAACAGCAAGCTGTTGTATTATGGATTGATTACGCCAGTGATGTGCTTTTTATAAGCATAACGAAGGCGGACATTGAACATATCGTGACAAGCACGAAAATAGCCGAAAATCTTGCCGGTAAAGCTGGCATGAAAGCTAAGGTATTGCTTAAATTGGAGTCCATATACATATGCTCGCTGAAAAAAGGTACCAATCCATTGGTAGTCTGTCCAGTGCGCTTGCATCACAATGATGTTGAGAATTCGGCTAGCGTGGGTCTAAATGAAGGCGAATTTTGTAATTTGGCAATTATACACGATAAATTGCCTATCGCTGTGCCCGAAGCTGTCTGGAAGCTGTGGCGTAATGTGAAGCGTCCAAAAGTCGACAAGGATGAAGTGTTAATAGAGACTAAGAAACCAAAACTAGAGGAACAGCTTTTAAAGAGCAAGTCCTCGAAAGTGAATGATAAAACCTCTGTAGTACTCAATGGCAAGGAACCACAACCAGAAAATGTCAAAAAAGTGAAGCTAAAAAACGGCCAGAAAACAGAGACTCCCAATAGTAAGAAAGCTAAGCTAGAAAAACTAGAGGAACAGCTTTTAAAGAGCAAGTCATCGAAAGTGAATGATAAAACCTCTGTAGTACTCAATGGCAAGGAACCACAACCAGAAAATGTCAAAAAAGTGAAGCTAAAAAACGGCCAGAAAACAGAGACTCCCAATAATAAGAAAGCTAAGCTAGAAAATGGCAAAGTTCAACAAAACGCTCAGCTATTTTTCGAAGACAAAATTCCCTCAAAACCAGCAGGTCCAGTCCAGCCTGCACCAAGTAAGGAGCGTCTACCTGGAGTTTCCAGTTTTTGGACCACGGACCTAAGCACCCTAAATGGAAACAAACAGCCCGAATCCAGTGATGACGACGAGGAAACCCCAGATAATGAACTGAACGCTAGCAAAAGGAAACGTCTGAGTGCCAAAGAAAAGGCGAAGGCGCAGATTAAAGAAGAGCAACGCCTGCGTGAAATCGAAGAACGCAATGCAGATCCCACACAGCGACCCGAGACCATCGATCAATTCGAACGTCTTGTGCTGGCCGAGCCGAATAACAGCAAGTCCTGGATTGAATACATTGCCTTTTTGCTCTCGAACACAGAAATTGAAAAGGCCCGCGCCGTGGCACGACGTGCCATAAAAACAATTGCGTTCCGCGAGAGTGGCGAGTTATTAAACGTATGGAGCGCTTTGCTCAACCTGGAACTAATCTATAACACGAACCAATTTAACGATGTCCTTAAAGAGGCGCTCACCTGCAATGAGCCTATCGATATTTACATGCGTACCGTCGATATATTGAAGCGTGCTCAACGCAAAGAACAACTGATCGATATGCTAGGTCTAATGCAGCGTAAATTTAAAACACAACTCAAAGTATGGCGTCTAATCGCTGACGCCTACTTTTCCTTGGACATGAAGGACCGTGTCCAGCCGTTGCTGCAACGGGCTTTGGCCGTATTGCCCAATAATGATCGTGAGTAAAAAACTTTGCTAGAAAACCTTCATTAAAGGGACTTTTTTGTTCGCATTCGGTTGTACACCTAATTCGGTTTTTACACGACTTTATTAAAATAATATGTAAAAACAGAATTTGGTGTATATATATTCTTATAGACTCTAGTGTAGTATAACAATATGACGAATCCAAATCAAATCTAGTTCCAGAGGTTTTCTATTTAAAATAGAGCGAACTATTAAAAATAAAATATACTAAGATATATCATAATTGAAGAAAGTGTTCGGTTGAGGTCAGGTGGGAAAAACATATTCAGTTTAAATATAAAAAGGATTAAATGGGAATGGGTCTAAGCAGTTGTAAGTAGCTCGTCAACCCTGATGATTAATGTATGTGTCGAAGATACCTAAATACAGGCCGATAAGTTGTGATCAGACAGGAAAATAATTTGCTCCCAAATTTTTCAAGTATTTGGGTGATTTCCATAAAAATAGTTTTCATAAAGATGAACAACTTTGTCGGGGCTTAGTTAAATATATTTTTGTGTTCAAATTAATTGCTTATTAGACCGTAGATTTAGGCTCCATTACAGTTTACGTTTAGATTTTTAGATCTGATATAGCTTGGTATAATTTTCCTATTTTTACTTTCATTCTCACAGACATAAATTGCATCGTTGCCTTCGCGAATTTATACGCCAAGAATGGGGATAATGATATGGCACAAACGTTACTGGATGATATAGTGACCTCTTATCCGAAACGCATTGATATATGGGTGCTCTATGTTGATATGCTAATTAAAGCCGATCTCATTGATTCGGCACGGTGCGTATAATTACTAAAAAGAGAATGAACAATTATTCCTTCTCTTTACTGATTTGCTCCTTGTTTTCCCGCAGGAATGTCTTGGCACGTGCAGTTTTACATAAGCTGCGGCCAAACAAAATGGTCGTGATATTCAAGAAATTCCTGGACTTCGAGCTTAAATATGGCACGGATGAAAACGCGACGAGAGTCAAGCAAATGGCCGAAGATTATGTAAAGAATTATAATAAATCGGCTTCGTAAGACACAAAACACAAGTCAATGCCTTTAAGTCTTATGTTAAAAGCTTTGTTTTTTTTTTATGATGCACACTTTATTTTAAAAACTATATAGTTTAAATGAAATGTGATTTTTCACTGCTACTTTCTTTTAATAATGTATAAGGAAATACATACATACAAACGTTGATAAATGTGTCTATGTTATTAACATTTCTAGCTGCCGTACATAGGAACAGCATTTACACTTAAAATTAAATACGATACCATGTTATTCGCAAACTCGAAACTAAACTTAACGCAAATTTGAAAGAACTGAACATTTTAAACATTTTGAAGTGTGGATGCTTGTGTATGTATAGATGGGATGTGATAAAACATGAGAAGCTTTGTTTTACTTAAACTAAAGGGACTGTGGGGCATCATGAGTGTATTGGGCCGGTAGCATGAGGTTCTGATGTGGCTAATACGGTGAATATAAATGTCAGAAATTACATTATATTAAATGTTTTTTTTTCCTGCTCTTACATATTAATCAATAAATTGCCAGTTTAGAAAAATTGTAATTTCATGTTTGTTTTTAAGAATTAATTTATACATAAACAGTCTTGAGCGCGCAAGGCCAACGCCCAATTTCATTCCTTGAATAGGCCGCGCATCTTGGCCGATATTTTGCGTACACGACCGCGACTACTGACACTCACAAGCTGCTCGTCGCTGTCTATGGCGCTGCTGCCCTCAGCATTCTCCTGATCCTCATCGTCGGGGTTGTCGTCCGTGGGTTCATGAGATGTACCAGCGTAGGAGTCGCCGCCTCCGTTGCGCATTCGTTTGCGACTGCTCTGGGCATGCTGTTCCTCCTCATCGGACTGCTCATTGTAGCGGGGGCGTTTCTGATTCCGTCCGCTTCGAGGATTTCCACGGCGTTGGCGTGGCATTTTATAATCTTCATCGTCCTCGTCATCATTGATGAATGAATTTTCAGACAACGCGCGACGTCGACGTTCTCGGCTGCTGCGCTGTGGCTGCCTTGGATTTTGACGACGGGTTCTGCGATCTCGCGGGGGCGTTTCTTTTCTTTTGCGGGTGACCCGTCCGTTTCGCGGGGCAACGTAGGAGGTCAGGGGTTGATTGTCTTCCGAATCGGTGGCAGTAGCTTCTTCCTCATCATCATCGCTTGCCTGCGTACTAGAGCCGCCATCGGTTCCCTCGTCCGAAGCTGCATCATCGTCGTGCTCCTCGTCCTCTTCTTCTTCGGTGGCCTCGGTCTGCGACTGACTGTTGCGCACACGCAGACGTCGCGTTCGCGCGCTAGGCGACGGATTTGTTGTGCTTGTTGTAGTGGCGGTTGTAGTAGTCGATGTGGGGCGACGGTGATTTGTGATGACTGCCAGCAGGCGTGAGTTCTCTAACGGATCCAAACTAGAATCCAGTTCATCTGCATTACGTTGATGACGCGAGAGCACGCGACGTGGCGCTCGTGCAGCAGCCGCAGAAACGCTGCCTAGGTAATTGTGATCATGGGTGGTCATCCCGGGCTGACTGGAAGGGGGACCAGCGACTGCACTCGATGAAGTTGTTGTGGAGGTCGCATGGGAACGAGTCATGTGCGTTGGTGTTTGCGCACGTCGACGCAGCACAAGTGGATGTGGCGCTGCTGGAGCGTTCGTTCTAGCTAATGAGGAGGCAGTTTCTAGAGGAAAAATAGGTAGATACAATAAGATGAAATTGATGGTCCAAATTAAAGCAGCTACTCACTCTGTTGATTACTGGCCAAAGGCGCATTGTCACTGTCGTCATCATCGTCATCGCTCTCGGCATGACTGACGACGGTGTTGCGATTGGTGCGTAACTGGCGTGAGCTAGGCACTCCGCTGGTAACTAATCCCAGGGCGGCACGACTTGTCGAGGGCATGTCATCTTTTGTTGGGGTGGGTAGAATCTTGAAAGAAGAAAATTCAATATGATTCCATTACTGCCTAGGTGCCTACTACTTGCTCCTCATCTTACCTCTTCAGCCTCTTCGCTTTCCTCCTCTTCCTCCTCTTCGATATCACTGCCACGCGCCCAATCCATGAGTGCACGCTTGACACTCTGTCGCGTGGGTCTGGCCATTTGGCCATGTGAGTCCGTATCCGATTCGATAATGCGTCCATTGCGTACAGGCAAATGATAGCTGTGATCGTTCTCAGTTGCAAGCTGCGGACGACGTCCACCGTTCAGACCAGCGCCACCATTGGCGCGCGTATTGCGGGAGGGGCTGGCGTAGTTAAGAGTCTCGGTAACTGCTGCAGCGGCCGCTGCACTTGTGCTGGGTCCATTACTTAATCTGGCCGATCTTCCTTTTTTCCGTGGCGTGCTGGTCAATGTGTCCTGTGTGCTCTCGTCTGGCTGTGAATATGAGGCTGACTTGTGGGCTAAAGCATGAGAATCCTCATCGGAGCTGCCCAGCAATCGACGTGTGCGACGTGTTGGCGCTCCCGTAGCGCGATTGTTGGACGTTTGTTCTTCCTGCCGACGTCGCTTATTGCTACGACGAGCGCTATCAGCTTTGCGTTTTCTACCACCTGCATTGCTTACGCCTCCGCGACGTCTGCGTCGGCGATCATTGGGATTGTAGCTCTCTTCAGAGTCATTTGCAGTTTCTTCATCGTCACTAACTCTCCGGCGATGGCCTCCTCCCCCACGACCTCGTCCGGGACGGCGTGTTCGTTGTTCCGGGGAGTCAGCATGTGCTTCTTCCTCATCGTCCTCATCGCTGCTTGCATCAGAAGTGGCCTGTGCACTGGTTTCCTCTTCTTCGCTCTCAGAATTACTGCTGCTTTCATGAGTCGATGCATTATTCACATTGGCGCCGTTTCGGCGCTGGTGGGCTGCCGCTGCTGATGACGAGGATGTGACGCGATTGGAACCTGAGATGCTGGCAGTGATAGTCGCTCCATTGCGACGGCGGGTGCGCTGAGTGCCGCGCGTAGTTGCTATAGCTGCCTCCGCCGCCACCTCCTCATCATCATCATCATCGTCATCATCTTCACTGTGTGTTCTGGCAGTGGTTTTCTGATTGCGGCGCGTGGAGGGTCCAGCTGCACGTGTGCGCTCCGTAGGAGTGCGTTTTGCTGGACTGCTTGAGCCACGTCCACTGCTGCCGGATTTGTTTTTATTGGCTCGTCGGCGCGCCGCCTTCCAATTACTGACCACAGTCTTGATGTGAGACTCGAACAGAGCGCTCAGACGCAACGTCATTGAATAGATCTGCAAACAGGTTGAATGCACAATTGGATATCAAGTTAGTAAGCCAAAGTATGATGCTCTATTATAGAATTATGTATGGCGGCTAATTCTTATATTGGTCTAATATGGAATTGTTCGCAAACAGATCAAATAAACTTGATTCCCACATCTGAGATTGAAACTGTTGGGGATTTATTTTTCTTTCTGTTTGGCAATTTAAGGCAAATGTTAGGCTAAGTAGACCCATATAAGAATACGCTCTATTCTACTTTTTATTCAGAAGTGCAACCTTACCGCTATGTTATCCTATTAATTTAGTGATGAAAAGTCACGGATCGTCATTCATTTGGTTTGATAGTTATTGAATGGTAAATGGATTTCATTTGATTGATCGATTCGATTTGGTTTGGTTTGATTGGTTAATGGTTTGATGAGTTGGGTGGTTGTTAATTTGAAGTTTGAAGGCATGTTACATAAAGGCGAAAGAAACGTAAAGAAGAAGATGAGCATGTGTGGATGTAAGGCAGAAACAGAACATAGAAAGCAGCAGCAAAAGCAATAATAACAGCTACAACAGTTAGAGAATAAAGCATGTGCTGCTCTTTTGAATATTTACCATAAATGACGATCTGCAATCACAATGACTTCATTCAATCTGTCGCAACTTACCCGTGAACGTTTATTGGTATTGTAGTTCTTCGAATTCTGGAAAATTAAGCGCACATCCTTGGCAAAGTCTAGCGGATCATCATAATTGCCACCAAGCAAATCCTCTTTGACTGTGCGCAAGTCCATAGGCGTGGCAATAATTTCCAAATAGTCGGGAAACTCAATTGTGTCAACAGGCTCACGAAAGGGCAGTGAGTCCGGACGAGTCCACATTAGATCCAAAAGCTGTCGGCAATCGGATCGCCAATCGCCATCGGAACGTATACGATTTGAGCTGCGAAAAAAATAGAGGTTTATTAGTGAATACTATAAACTGCAGAAAGGCGTTCTATCTATATTTACCGTCGCGTTGAGGACACACGTTGTCGTGCTGCTGCTGCTGCCGCCGACGTAGTGGGCCCTGTGCTAGTCGATGGCACAACATCAGAGTCGACCTCATTCTCTGACTCTGACGAATGATAAACGTCTACGAGCTGGTGGTAAACGGCAGCCACATCAATCTCATCCGGTTCCCTGAAAGGAATACAAATATTTATCTAATATTTTATGACCCATCATCATGTTTACCTTATGATGCGCAAGCACAAGTCCGTCACAATTCTGGCATGCTTGACAATACTTGTATGACGGCGGTTATATTGTTCGGCGTTGGTAGCAAGGTATCGCACATCGAATTGGGCAGTTGTGATGCGCCTGTAGAAGTGATTCTCGAAACGAGACTTAACGGTCGTCAAATCGATGGGATACTCAATCAAATAAGCATAGTCGGGATATATGTTTAAGTCCACGGGTGCAAGAAAGTGCTCAGCAATGGAAAGCCGCATGACCTGAGCAGAGAACATTATTAAGTTGGTTAATTTAAAATATGCAAATTCTGGCATACCTGCTCAAGTCCATTGATAATGCGTCGACAGGTGCCATCGCGATCACCGCGATGCCATTCCTCTGACTTCGGCTGATACAGTGTGGCACGAATTTCCTCCGGTAGAACGGGTACCGCACCTCCCACCTCATCGGGCAGTCGCTCCTCATCTACTGGTTCCATATCCCATGGACTCATATATTCGTATTCACCATTATCCCAACGCACGCGGAAGCACATGAAAAAGGATTCGGGAAAATCGGCAGACAGCGCACGGCGTGATTCAATCTGTCCCATCCACCATCCGTCGCCGATCATACAACGAAACCGATCGCCAATGCTCCAATTACGCTGCACCGCCAAATCGAAGGTCTGACGCAGCACCAAAAAGTCCAGTACATCGGGCATATCGTGATATTTGATTTTAAATGTAGTACCCGTCATATTGCCGTCATCATCGATCATGGCCAGCTTCAGGCAGCACAAACGTGGCGGACGTATCTCGTATTTAATGCCAATCACGCGAACTAACTCGTGATCACGCAAAGTGCGAAAGTTCCAAGGCTCCGAGCTGTGTGACAGTTTATAAACCTTTTTCAAACGCACTGCCTCCAAATAGCGTTGATGGCCCTGTCGAAAGTACACCACCTCGTCGCCCATTTGTGGATAGTAGGGCGCCTTGCGTGGTATCACTTCCGACAGCCATTCGGCAGGTCGATAAAGCTCGGGTATTTCGCCATTCGGTGCCGCAGGGGGTATCAACACACGTTTGCGGCCACGCTTTCGTGATTGAGCCTGCGTCTGTCCCTCACCAGCAGCCTCGTCATCGCTGCTGTCATCACTGACAGTCCGACGTCGTGAGAGAGGCTTGCGTTTCGAACGTTTTGGTGGCTCCAAATTTGGTCCAGGTGTATCAGCGACCCAATCGGAATAATCTGAGCTATCTGTTTCGGATTCATCGCTAGAATCTTCTAAATTTTCTTCAACATTCGAATAACTGGTATCACCAGATGAGTTCGACGTGTCCTCTTCTTCCTCCTCCTCATGCGCAGGCGCCGCATCATCATCATAATGTGCCTCTTGATCCCGAACAGCACGGGTACGATATGCGGGTTGTTGTCCACTCTGTGCGCCACGCCGGCGCCCTGGACGACCGGCACCATTGGACCGTGTATTTCGTGGACGTCCAACTCCGGCTTGTTGTGCCGAGGCCGCACTGGCAGTGTTGATCATAATCGGCCGTCGACGCATCTCACGCTTGTACTCCTGTATCTCGAACTGGCCGGCAGAGTAGATGGTGTGCTTAAGGGCTTGTAGTTGTCCATATTTAAGCGGACGTACATAAGTACGACGCACAAATTTTATTGGCAATGGCTGCGCTGGAGGTTGGGGGGTTGGCGGTTGCTGTTGCTCCGATGGAGGACGGCCCCATTGTACACCTTGGCGTGGCGTACTGGCGGCTTCAGACATGTGGCGTCGGCCAAACGCGTTACTGCCGCTCGCACCACCAAGTACATTACCAGCTCCGGGCAAACTACCCCGCGATGGGTTCCTGCCATTCGAATCTGGTAGTTGATCCTGTCCCTGCCGCAACACCAAACGTTCGTATGATTGATTCGCATTGCTGGCTGCTGAATCATTAGTATTGGCATTACCCTGACGATTGGCTAGAGCGGCAATCATGCGATCAATGTGCAAGAAATTCGCGTTTGCTGCCGATGGAGCCGGTGGAGCACCCGCATTTACAGTGGCATTTACGTTATCTTCAATAACAATGCCATCGATACCGACTGTTAGGTTGGGTATCAATTGATCCGTGCTGCAAGTCTCCCGGCCTGGTACAAAGCGTTGATACTTGGCCGGGTGCGGATTGCCATCGGCATCGACGAGAAATGGTGGTGGCATAAGATGCGGCATAATCTGCGTTTGTTCGTCTACAACGTGGTGTTGGGCATCGCGAAGGAGTGGACGAAAATCCGTGTGAAAAAACAATTCATTGGGCAGCTAGGAAGGAAGGAAAAAGAATTACATAAATTGAAAATGGAATAAATCCTAATACTTACAATTTTGTACTTCTCCACCCCAATACCCAGGCCAAAAATTAAAATGTGTCCGTGTGAATCGGTGGCTGCAATCATTGTCCCGTCCGGCGACCATTTGGCGTCGAATACACTGCCATGGCCCTGGCCATCAATATCATTAAAGAATCGGGCCACACTTATGCCCTGCTCAATGTCCCAAAGAAATACTTGGCCATCATGACCGGCAGAGAGCAAGACGTGTTCATCTTTTGGATTCGATTCAAGTACATACAATTCATCCTTGTGACCACGCAGTACGCGATGAAGCTTGGCAGTTTTGGATTCCCATATTTTAATCTGTTCGGAAAACGCAATAGTTTTTTGTGCTATGGACTAGGCTACAGAATTTAACCAATAATACTAACAGTAAAATCATTGACGGCAGTAATAACATATCTGTCCGATGCATCCCACGCAACCATGGTAACTTTTAGTTTTTTGCCTTCCTCTGGCTCTGGACAACTATAGGGAACATTCGTTAGTTCACAAACTTATTATTTTTTATCCGACTTACCTTCGGAGCCGTTCGGTCATACACAGCTTTACGCTCTTCCACTGCTGCGACTCAAAGGTCCAAATGTGAGCTGTGCCATCCTTGCTGCCAGATATGAACCGCAGTCCCCGATGTGACCACTGTACCGAATCCACAGCATCTGTATAGGCTTCCGTTTCCAAAATGCGCTTCGGCCCATCCTCTCCCATCATATAGACACGTACATGATGATCTGCCGAACCGGCGGCCAAAAACATGCCCCCCGGAGAGAAAGTTGTGCACATCATTTGCGCTTGTCCCGGGCGCAACTTCTCGTGATATTGTGTGGGTTTTGGAGCAAAAGTTATTTTCTGACCACGTGGCGTCGAGTATTGCCAGAAAGCAATTGAACCATCTGTGCTGGTTGTTACCAAGTACTTCAGATCGCTACGAGGAGAAGGACAGAAATTTACCGAGGTTACCATGCCAGTGTGTGCAGCTAGCACAGCAATGGGCGATGTGGTTTGCATGTCCCAAACCCGTAATATGCGATCCACAGATCCAGCAGCAAGCATGGTATTGTCCAAATTAATGGCAATATCTGTAATTTCCGCGGAAGCGCCTCGCAGAGTGGCCAACAGACGTCCATCCGTAGCAGACCAAATTTTAATGAGTAAGTCATCAGCTCCAGTTATAATGTAACGACCGGTTCGATCGAAGAGCACACAGTACACCGAGGACAAATGGCCAACGGTACGACGCAAAAGTTTAATCTTTCCATAGAGACCCGTGGGCACGAGTAACTTACGACGCACTGATCCTCCATATTCCCGCCCCGTGAGCACTTTAGCTGTAATTAAATAAATTATTTATATTGGAACTTGTAAATATAACCGCAGGTTTTGGACAAAACACTTACTTAGATTATGTGGGGTTAGTGTGATTGCAGAGTCTGGCAGTGAGACGGCATTGAGGCGTGTGATATAATCCAGCTGAGTACGGTGTTTGTAGACGGTGTCTTTTGTGCGTAACAAGCTCTGCCGCCCAGAGCCTAGAAGTGAACTTATACCTAGCACGCTTGGGGCCAGCTCCCGATCCATAAGTGGTCCCAGACGACTGCATAATTCCAGCAAATGATTTGAACTGATGTGCCGGTACTTATCTTCCTACAATATTAAACGGATTTTTTCCCTTTAAATTTCATCATAATCGATAACAAACCGTCGATAACAAATACGGTGCAGCTGCTTCATAAAGATATAACTATCTCACTTTAACATACGTATAAATGGCTTCCAGAGCAGTGGCTAGCCTTGAAATGCCGTTTGTGACTATGCCTGTGTGCTTCGCATGTATAGAAAGTGAAGCGGACATCTTGCTTTCACAGAATTTGTTAAAAAAAAATTACTATGCAAATTTTCAATTTTGAATATTTTTCAAAATTTCTTTTAAATTGCAAAATTATAAAATATTTGCACATCAGCTTAGTTAAAATTACGTTTAAAATTTTTCATATTTTAAATTTCACTTTTCTTTCATTATATTAATCATTTATATCTTAATTTCATGTTTATTGCCCACCTTTAATTTCAATTAATTGCAAAAAGGTAATATTTTTAATTTACACACCGACACACATGTACTGACTTTTCAATCAATCAATGAACGTGACGTCACAAAGCAAGCACACACGCGCGCACAAAGCAGCGAGAAAATTACACCAAATTTCACTTACGCAAGCAGTACCACCTTGCAAAATGAAATACAATGCTTAATTAACACACAAATATTTATACACTCACCAATTCAGCAAAGGTCTGCTCGTGCTCATTGCCCTGCCAGTCAATGCGTCGGGGCAGAACCTGTAGCAAAGGAAATAGGGAAGTCGTTATCAGTTGCACTCACAATGACGTCGCTGCTGCCGCCGGGGACACCATACAATCATAGTCATCCATTTGTTACCTACTTTTATTACGGGGCAGACGAAGGTTCGGACGGACGTGATTCAGGCAGACTGACAGACTCCCATGGCTAGCACACTACATTTCAGTTTTCAGTATAGCTTTGAACTCTGAAATAAGCAGACGGCTGGCTAGCTGGCTGGCAGGCAGACGATTGGACTTGTCGCACTGCCGGCTGCGCTACAACAACAACAACAGAAGCTGCGAGACCAAAACAAAATAAACAAACGGTCATCAAGTTTTGCATAATTCGTAATGAGCTACCAAATCCTTGCCCATTCAAATCACACCTCCTGGTAGGAGCCCTAGTCGACACACCCACAACAGCCCACTTACCTGCTTTTGCTCCAACTCCTGAACCAATACCTGTTAAGTTAAAAACAAAATTCAGTTCGGTTAGCAAAATGTTTGTAAACAAAACAAATTCAAACATTGAAAAATGCACGGCGGCTCAAAAAGCGCATCCGATCACCGACCTTTGCTGTCTCTTTCAGCGGTCCCGCTGCCAGATATTTGGATATCAGGAAGTACAATTCTGTAAGAAAGACAATGTCGCACACATTTAATGCAACAAGTTGCTATGAAATTGCATATAAGTATGGTAAAAATGCAATGTTTTCACTGGCAATGTTTGGCAATTGTATTCTCAGTTACGAGCAAGGCAACTGAAGCCAACCAGCCTAGCACCTCCCCAGATTCGAGGGTCACAAGCCAGGCAATTTGTGAAAATGGCCTATTTTTGGAAACTTAACGCACCTGGCACTAGTACATTATTTGAATGGTGCTGCCTGTTATCCATTATACATTTCGAAACACACTTTAAATTATTACAAAATTGACTTGTACTTTCTCACAAAAAATTCTTTTTTTCTGCTTCTTCTTCTTATGCGATTGCTACAAGCTGTCATTCAGCATGCTACAGAAATGTATCGATATGAGCCTGGGTATCGAAACGATATCACTTCGATATGTGCGATAGTGGTATTTTTTAAACTATTTTAGGTATTAGGTGCGACGGCCACCTTTACTACGTCAAAAGACGTCTGGACCGACAGCCGACATACACTCTTGGTGCCAGCAGATGCGATATTATATCGGATTTTCACTGCGCACAGTGTTTTTCATGTTGCACATGTAACGAAGGCTCCAGCAGAAACAAAATAATTACGACTCGGCGAAGTTAAATGTACGCACACAACTTTAAGCTGCAACGGTAGTTCACAATTCGCTACTATGGATTGCAATTTGGGCAGCGAAATAGGCCAGAAGATGCGCGTAAGTATGGGGCTTATACGCGGAAAATCAATGAACTCGTAATCTACTTTTCAATAAATTATGGCATCGCTTTCCATATCCACATTCCACACTTTTGCGCCCACAGAGTGCCGTAAAGGCTAAGCTCCTGGAACTTGGTACTGGCGGCTCGGCTGGTTTTATTGACGACGAATTGCCGGACTACGTCATGGTGATGGTCGCAAATAAGCGCACCAAACAGCAAATGAATGCAGAACTCAATCTGTTCTTGGGCGATCAAACGGACCTCTTTGTTACTTGGTTGCACGAAGTGCTTCAAAAGCTGCAGGAAGTGACACTGCCTGCATCAAGTGGTAAGCTTAAGCTTAAAAATATTTGTCATTTACATGCTAAAAAATTGGGTAATTTTGCAGCAGCCAGTAAAAAGCGGAAATCAGAAAAGGCGAAGGAGAAAAAAGTTGGGAAAAAGGAAAAAAGAGGCCATAGGAAATCGGGCGATGATGCACAGCTTTATCCGATATCCAACGAGCCGGCAACGTCAGATGGCGTTCCGGTAATTAACTCCATCACTGACGTGTTCGCCGAGGAACTTTTGGAAAAAGCTAAAAAGACCTTGGATGTGGATACTGATTTGAAGGATGAAATACTGCAAAAGAAAAAGAAGCGCAAATCTTGCGATGAACAACTACATCATATGGCGGGTGCTTCAGAAGAAGGATCGACAAAGCAAGATTTTGATATACCAACTATGTCGGAAATCTCGTCGACCACTGCTGCATCCAAAGACAACACTGACGGAGCAATCTCAAGTGGCAATCGTGAGAAAGATCTAGCTGAATTAGCCGAGATACAGAGGAAAATTTATGCTGCCAAGAAACACCTGCGCAAAATTGGTGAACTAGAAGCCGATGAAGAAATTGATGATGATGAAGATGAGGATTTTATAAACTTGAACGAGCAAGAAGAATCTGTGGGCAATGACGACGAGGAGTCCCAAAAATCAACACAAGAGACGACGCGAAAAGTCAGGAGTCCTATTATTTTCAAAAAACGAGCAAAGACTCCCGAACCAGCGGCAACAAGCAAAGAGCAGGTCCCAACGACACGTGATAAAGAGGTGGAGCGTCAGCCAGAGCACAAACCACGTGAACAGACCGAAAAAACTTCAGAGGAACGCAACGAACGGCGACCTGTGCACGAGCGCCTCGGTTCTAAGCCCCAGCCGCTGGAGCGAGTGCAACGAGTGCAAAAGCAGCTCTATGTGCCCGCCCATCGACGCCGCACCGAACAGGAGGCGGAAAGGCAGCGGAGCAGAGAACGCATTCAACGAGAAAGGGAGCGCTCACGCGAACGTCGCAACAGTCGCGAACGAGAGCGACAAGACAGTCTGCGTGAATCAGCCAGAAATAGACGCTCTTCGCCGCTACCGCCTCCAAAGGACAAAGTTGTGCAGCGTTCGCTCTCCAGTGAAAATACTATAGTAAAGCAACGAGTTGTTTCGCGTGTCATTGTGGCGCCCAACAAGACACCAGAACCATCCGATGATGAGGATTTGCTCGAGAAGCCTGTCAACTCAGTTATCAAAATTAAGCCCAGACCACAAGTGTCTCCTCGGCGACAAGCGTGTAAGAATTTGCTGCTGCGTGCTGTAGCCGATGCACAACGCTCAACAATATTGGCTAAGCCCTCCCCCACTTCAGCATCGAAAAAAGACAACGATGAGCCTGTGCTCATAAGTGCGACGCTGGGCAAGCGTAAAGCCACTGAACGCTGCACAAACCCCACAAATTATCGTGAAGTGGAACGGGAACGTGCCAAACGTAGTGCACCCAACAACGAGCTCTTCAGACGTACCACGCGGGAGCTCGTCGTCAATGTGCTGCAACACGATAAGCGTTCAAGGGGTCGTGAACGTGAACACATAAAAGCCAAACTAGTGGAGGAGGAATATGTACCGACACTGGGTAGGGACAAATACAGTGCAGACCTTGAGCCTTATGTACCCCAGATTATAGATCCAACGGATATTGATATGCACCTGACTTCCAATGATGAGTCCAGCATTGTTGGAGCTGGCCCAAAGACACAGTTCGTGGTCACCTTAAATGGTAAGCGCCAGCCTTTCAGGCCCATTGAGGCCAATCAAATCGAGATACAGAGATATTATATACGAAAAGAAAACATATATTTTAAAATATTTGTATCCTGTGTCCAAAGAAATGTTTGTAACACTTTTTTTTAACCACATATGTTTATATCTATGTGTGATCTCTAATGGGATAGGGTTACAGTCCTCGATCTATGGATTTAGCATTTCTTAAACCCCATAAAAGCAATGTTGTCAATGTCAATGTCTGTCACCAACTATATTAACTAACTGTTGTCCTATTAGCTACTATTAAGTGTATTTAATCTGTTTGGTTAAAATGCTTATTTAATATTTATATTACATTTCCAATAGGTGAAAAATCATTGGGTCCATACCGGAAACGTTCAAGTGCCTCACGCAAACGCACACCCTCGCCCACAACGCCACAAGTGTCCTCATCTTCAGCCGCCCATAACAGTACTGAGCCTTCATCTACCACATCGTTGGGGGGCAACAGTCGTCGACGCAAACCCGATGGGAAATCCAGGGAGCGCAATTCATCGCATTCACCGACTCTGAGCAACACGCCGCCGCCTTTGATATCACGCAGTCTGAATCGCAGCGAAGTCTTGCGGCAGCCAACAGAAATTAAGAAGATCATCATAAAAAGCGATACGGACGAGGAAGATGAGCCATCGCTACAATCAAACAAGGGGAATGGCTCGCCAAGAAAGCGCTCGGTCACAAAACGTCTGGGCTCCTCTGTGGTCGCTACTTCCTCATCATTACTAACAGTGGCGGCGACGGCTGCTAATGGCTATAACAAATCTAAAACTAAGCAGGAAGAACGATCAACTACGCCACCACTGCCACCCAAAAAGCTGGCTGACAAACGGAGTGCCAGCAAGGAGGAATTTCTGACGGCAGCAGAGCCAGCACTTCCGCAGAAAAACAAACACACGCCAATACGTTTCACCTTAAAGAATGATGAGGAACTAGTGCCGCAGAAAAAACGGCGTTCCGATAGTCAGGAGGAGCGTGACAAGCCTGTCCGTGATACGTCAACGGAACGCCGCAAAATTTCAATACGCACAGCCGAGGACCGAAAATATGATAATCTCCCGGCATGTAAGTATCATAATAGACAAATATCTATACTCTACCATACATTTTTACTCACTCCCTTTCAACTGTGAATTGGTTTTGCAGTAAGCGCAGTTAGTGTGGACTCTACAGTTTTGAAGGTGTCTAAACCGAAGGAACGCTGCATATATCATCCGAATTGCACTAAACAGTTCTGTGAATACTACCATCCGACGGCGCCCTGTAAATCGTTCCCCAATTGCAAGTTTGCCGACAAGTGTATGTATTCCCATCCAAAGTGCAAGTTCGACATGGCTTGCATGAGCGTCGACTGCAATTATGCACATAGTGGCCCGCGTGATCTCAGTCACGTACAGCTGACAGCACCGCCTTTATGTAAGGATAAAACATGAATATCCCCACCGTACAATTTAGATGATAATAGTATTATTATATTCACCTTAGCCTCACACGTTATACCGGTGCAAAACTACAAATCTATCTCGGCACCAATCACCACAACTACGGCGACCACGATGTGTAAATATTATCCGAACTGCACCAACTTGGGGTGCACTTTCTATCATCCGAAGCCGTGCCGGTACGGCAAGAACTGCATCAATAAGCTGGAGTGCGTCTTTTACCATCCGGAAATGCAGAGCAAATTCAAATGGGTCGCCTCATTGGGCTAGGATACGACCATAATTTGCGTTCTCTAGACCAAAGCACCAGCCAAGCTCGTTGAAGCCATCTTGAGCGAAGGGCCTTTTCAGCAATTATGGATATTATATTATTCGTTTTGAGCTATGTTTTTAATTTATCCACGGAGAGTTATACTGGAATTATGTTTTCAATCATCCATGATTGATTAGGCATACAACTATTTAATATTTTATTTAGAAGTTAGTGCACGCATCTCCTAACATTGTTGTAAAGCGAATAGAAGATAAAAGAACTGCATACGTTTTACATCATTTAAGCAATTATAAACACGTCATGCTAAAGTCGACAAATAAAATTAGAAAAAGGAAAGAAAGAAAAACGAAATTGGTACAAATTACAAATAAAATTGGTTTGAATGTGGGGGCTTGAAAATATTCACTTTGGATTTTAAATTTTTAAATTAGGTATTTTTAATTGAGTAGCAAACTAGCATTCATACCTTTTATAAATAGTGTGGGACTGGAACTATATCTTCCAATTTTCGCAGGAATCTTGAAAATCGATTCTTGAGAAAATTTCTTGCAATATATCCATTTTGCTGCTTTTAAAATTAAACAATATCATTCTGAATAAAAATACACAATTATTGGTGCGATAAGTAATTAAGATGTTTAAATTTATTATGCTGGACAAATATATCCCGTATAGGATTTCGTTAAATAAAATAATTCCAATAAAAAACTAATTTTAATTTAAAGGGCCTAATAATTCCATCGCTATAGAACTGATATTGATAGAAGGTACACCATTTGGATTTACAATATTTTAAATTTTGCAATTCTAGGCATACTCTAAAAGTATTGCGGTTATTTTTAGGTTGGTTTTCACGCTTTAAATAATCGAGAAAATACATTATGTTTCCTAATTTTAAAGCATATTTTATTACACGGGCAAACACTGAGTGTTCAAACATTTGACCACCAACTGTTTTGAAAAAGATTTAAAAAACTTTAAACGCTATTTATGGAAAACAAATGGGACGCCAAAGTAAGAGCATATTCAATGGTGATTTGGTGCTTAAAGACTTCTTAGACATTTACACATAAATGTATAGCACAATAAAAGTTATTGGGTTTTAGGAAAAAGTCAAAATATTTCATATTTATTATTATGTATAGTACAGTCTCTTAATGTTACACTTAAATATGCTAGAGCAAAATATTTCGTTTACTTAAGAATTACATTCGTACACAAAAAATACAAATACGATTTCATAAGGCCACATTAACTGATATATGTTTGTATGTATATTCGCATATATTTATAGGATTTTGTTTAGCTCAGCTAATTATTTTTAAAAAGGCATACAAATTTATATACAAAATACTCGGATGCGGTCCATCTACGGACTATTATTGCGTTGCCTTGGAATGTGGGTGTGTATGGTGCATCTCTACTTTGTTCGTAGCTTATAGTAGATATGATCAAGGAATTGAGAGAACGGGGCGCATAAATACTGAGTGAATATCTAGATCGCGCCCTGCCTCTGAAACTATATAACGACTATATAGTGATTGCCATATTTATATATATATATATATATAACACTACAATAAATAGACAATGGTATTATATATATTATAAGCTAACTAAAGCGTAGGCATTCAAGTGTCGTTAGTTTAACTAATTGTATGTGGTTTACATTCGTGTTAATTAGGTGGTCTGTGGCTGTGGAAGCACCTTAATGGGTAACGAAAGTAAAAGAGGTTGGCTTAGTACACAAAAGAGAAAGTAGCGAAAAAAGTCTGTCTCTTTGTATATTAATATGGGCGGATTGAAAATATCTTTCGTTTGCTTTGCTAATCAATCTTTTGCGTTAACTAAATAAGCCGTTCCTCTGGTGGAGGCTTCAGCACATTGTCCATTTCAAGTCGTGGATTGCAATACTCCTGAGCGCTAGGACTGTAAGTTCCGCGAGTGGCCCTCTTATTTCTCGCCATCACCAAAAATGTGCCCAGGAGAGCCCCAGCAATAAGCAAGAGGACTACTACGACGGGTATTACAATGATGGCAATATCTGTGGTCGAGGGGCCGTCGTCCTTGGCAGTGATCTGGGGAGTGAGCGGTTAGGACCAATTAGTCAACTCACACAATCAGATATAATGTTTGCAAATAGCTTTACTTACCGTAGCGGTGCAGTTCTTTCCGGTAAAACCTTCCGTACAATTACAATAGTAGTCTACCTCTTCGCCGCAGTTCTCCTTACACTGTCCACCATTAGCGCATACATCCACGGCGTTACAAGGATCGGTGAAATTACAATAGGCACCGCAGAAGGGCTTCTGACAAACACACTTGAATGTGCCCGGCAAATTTATGCAGCGACCGAGGCCGCCGCAATATTCTACACTGAGATTACACTCATTAATGTCGGTTTCACAGTGGGGACCCTCGAATCCGGTGAGCGAACAATTGCATTCGTAGCCACCAACTAGATCCTTGCATGAACCACCGTTCATGCATGGGTTTGAGGCACATTCATCGATTTCCTGCTCGCACAGACGACCGGTGTACCCCAAGCTGCACTTGCAAGTGGGCAACTAAAAGAAAGAATTAGTTTGTGAAAGTCCAGTTGACAATACATATGCCACAGGGTTTTATTTACCATATCTGTGGTTAAGCACAGACCACCGTTCTCGCAAGGCGTCTGCTCACAGAAGGGAATATCACAAAGTGGCCCCTCAAAGCCCGTAGAGCATGTGCAGGTAAAGTTATTACCCGTTTGAGCATCTGTGGAAAAAAGATCAATTAGAAACAGCTCCATTAGCCGTAGGTAGAGCATCTTTTGTATTAAAGATCACATCTATCTAAGGTACAAAATTTTTTAGTTCTATATTAGTACTTACTGAATCCATTCTCGCAGCTCGAACCATTGCGGCACGGTTGATTCTCGCACGTCATTTGCTTGAGGACATCACACTGAGGGCCGGTGTAGTCATCCGTGCACTCACATTTAAAGGCGGCAATGAGATCGGTGCACTTGCCACCATTGTGGCAAGGCTGGGTAGAGCATTCGTCGATATTTTGTTCGCAGTACCGGCCCTCGAAGCCGGGCTGACACTGGCAATAGAAGTCAGCCACCTGATTGAGGCATGTGCCATTGTTTTCGCAGTGCGCATTCAGACACTCATCGATGTCCGTGCCACAATCATCACCTTCGTAACCTGGCAGGCAGGTGCATGCATATTCTTCGGAGGGTGCATTACAAGAGCCACCATTCTTACAATCCGTGTTGAAGCACAAGGTGCATCCCTCCGCTGGTCTCGTAGAATTTAAACGGAACTGAGCTTGTAATTGCACTGAAACATTCTCCGTGTGGGGATAGAGCTCTGCATTGGAGAAGTACGGAAGTAAAAGATCTCCAACACGTGCCTCACCCAGGCAGCCCTTGAATTGGGAGCCTTGTTGTGCAGAGACTGTGGTTCCGCGCGCCTGACGAGACTCCGGCATACCACCCAAATAGACTTGAGTGCTGCTTGAGAGCAGTTCCTGGAAAGCGGCCTGATCAATGTCTACGGAGAATCCGGGAGTGGGATCCACCATGGATTCCCAGCCTTTCCAGCCACCCTCTAATTTACCATTATGTGCCCGCAAATAGATACGACTCCATTCACCATCGGTGTTTTCCTTTTCAAAACGTGAGGATTCGCCAATATGAAGCTGCGTTAGCTTCCAGGTGACGGTAACACGTCCCCCGTTGACACCAATTTCGAAAAAGCTATCGTTGTTATCAATGAAGAGGAGAGTACCACCAGCCCGCGTACGATAGGCAATCTCAATGACCGGTTTAAGCAACTGCTTGTTTCCATTAGGCACGCCAATTTCTTCGGCCACCTGCTCCTTGAAGTACGAGAAAGCTAACGGTGCACGTTCTTGGCCAGTAAATGTTATATTAGTTAGGCATTCGTAGCCATCGTCCAAGTTTTGACACACGCTTGCACCTGGACACAAAATCAACTGACAGAATTCGATCTCCTGACAATCTTTGCCCTTATAGCCATTGGGACACTTGCAGGTATAGTCATTCCAGGTGTTGCGGCACTCAGCATTGTGCCTGCAGGGGTTCTTGCGACACAGGTCATCGGAAACCTCACCGGGAAGCACCGAAGTGCGATCAATGCTTACTGCTCCGAAGGGCTTAGCATTAACATTCACGTCCGTCACATTCAGCGGATACATTTCCACGATCATGTTAAGCGAGCCGTTGCTTACTTTGACATCCTGTATAATACCCTTGAAATAGTCTTTGCTGTCATCCTCCTTCGCTGTTACACCGCTGCCCAAGCTTTCATCTAAAGTTATTAAGCCGGGTTCCGTACTTGCCGGCAACAGAGATTCCCGCGTGGGTGCTGGACCTCCTAAATAGAGAACCTGAGCATCCAGTAGTCCGGTCGTTGACAGGGTCTTGCGGAAATACTCGGTTCCATTGAGCTTGACCTGCACCAAAGTTTGATTGCGTACCACCTCGATGAGATGATTGTAGCCATTGTCCAATTTCTGTCCTCCTACGGTGTAAGCCTCTGGGGTGCCATTGAATTGCATCCTCACCAACAGTTCCCCGCCATGCAGTTTGGCAGCCACATAGGAGTCACCAATGTCTTAAAACGAGACGAGATTAGGTGTTAAGCTAGCTCAAAATAAATTCCTAATACTACTTACTTTTCGTAGGCATTTTGCGAGGATCGCTGCCTAAGTAGAAGACCTGACCTGTGGGTTCACGAGTGCGTATAAACATCGAAATGTCTAAAATGGAGCGTATGGCGCGTCTAGCCACATCAGTAGTTTCTACTATGACGGCAGAGTGCGTGGTGTTTTCATGGCCAAAGGTGGCAGCTGTCATATCTACGAGGAAAGAGAAACAAGAAAAGAGGTTAAAAGTCCGTGCTGGGCATTAGTGTCGCATGGAATACTTACTGTGCTGACAGGTATGCCCAAAGAAGGGTCTTGGGCAATGGCAGGCAAAGGTGTGCCACAGATCTGTACACTCGCCATTAGAGTGACACGGATTGGGTTTACATTGCTCTGTGCGCGGACAGCCGCTCTGCACATAGGAGAGCTTTGTATCCGCGTTGGTATCGTTTTCATTTTGCTCATCCGGAAAGATCCATCTACCATTCACCACAACATCCTGCATGCAGCCGACAAAGCTGGAGGGCTGATGCGTCAAGTGGCGCAAATATGATTTCAAATTAGGTATGGTTCCTCCCAGATAAGTCAATGGGAACGATGGCTGACTGTTATTTGCCGTCTCGTAAGAGCCGACTGGAAATATGGCCTGCTCATCGTTTGCTGACAGAACCAAATGGGATGTATTAATGGCCACAAAGACCTTGTGCCAGTTACTATCGTTCAGCTTAGATCCGATGAAAACACCCTCCCATTTATTGAGCAGGGAAGAGTGCAAGTTGAGGCGACCATTAATCAACTCAAGTATGTAACTGACGGGCTCATTTTGTCCACCCGAGGTACCAAAGGCCAAGACGCCGTTAGGCAATGTGGTCTTAAATTGCAAATTGATGTCGTAGCCTTCGTCGCGTTGCGTCTTCACCGTTATTAGACTGCTAACCACCATGGAGAGTGTGGTGGTCTTCTCGCAAGTTTCTCCTTGGAACCCATGCTCACATGAGCAGTTGAACAAATGTATCGTTTCATCAACGAGATAGGGACGACAGGTGCCGCCATTCAGACAAGGCACACTGGTGCATCCAATCAACGGAACGGAGCAGTTCTTTCCACCAAAGTTGGCATCGCAATCGCAATCGTAGTCATTGATTTGATCGATACATGTGCCATTTTGACAAGGATTATAGCGATCGCATTCATCGATATTCATCTCGCAGTGCGTTCCTTCAAAGCCCGGATCGCATTCGCAGGTATAGGCGCCAATCTATGGAAAAACCGGTTTGTTATTCGCGCTCTCACGTCCCTTTAAAGTGTACTATACATTGTATGCTTATCTATCATTATTTCATTATAGGTTTGTATAGTCAAGCACACGACTACACTTACCCCATCATTACAGGTTCCATGCTTGCTGCACGGATTACTCTCACACTCATTAATGTTGATCTCGCAATTTTTGCCAATAATACCAGGAACACAAACGCACTCATAGCTGCAATAATATCCATTAGCATATCAGCATGTAAGTAGAGTAAAATTTGAATTGTTCGCTTACCCGCTGGCGTTCTCAAAACTAAATGGCTGGCTAAAAATCTTGGGTAAGTCCATGACTCTACTTAGTTGATACAGCGTCGTATTGGATCGCTCCAGACAGTTGCTATTATATTGACAGGGATTGCTTTCGCACTCATTAATGTCCAGTTCACAATTCTTCCCCTTGTAGCCGGCGTGGCATTGGCAATTGTAGTCCTTGACAAGGTCTTGGCACACTGCACCATTGGTGCAAGGATTGGATGCGCACTCATCGATGTTCAGTTCGCAGTTCTGGCCCTCATAGCCGGTACCACTGCAATCGCAGTGGAATCCTCCCAACTCGTCTATGCACAGACCGTTGTTGAGGCATGGTGCCGAAACGCAGTCATCTATGTCAATGTCACAACTACGACCCGTCATTCCAGGAATGCAGTTGCAGGTGAAGTTGTTGATCATGTCTATGCAGGTGGAGCCATTCGAGCAAGGATTGCTTATGCATTCGTCAATGTCGATTTCGCAATTGTAGCCCTCGTAGCCGGGCTGGCAGACACACTCGTATGCATTGATCTAACAGGATAGAAATAAAACCATTATGTGTGTGTACGAAAAACGGGTTGACTTCATCCAATGACTAGATCCAATTCTATATTCGTTCAATAGCTCTAATTTACTTCTAAGTAAAGCTGAGCATAGACATCAAATGCGAATTTACATGCAAGGGGTAAGCTTCATTAGAACAGGACTCTCTACATAGAGGACTCACGAACTCACTTGTCTCAAAATCCGATGCTTTCCGTATTTAAAGAAAAACAACTAATTATACTTTATTAACTGTATTGGATCATTGCCCTCGCAATCTTTATTTCCATTACCCACTTACCTTATTGTTACAAGTGGCGCCATGCAGACACGGATGACTCAAGCACTCATCTACATCGGAGTCGCAATGGATGCCCGTGAACCCGGGCGTACAATAGCATTTGTAGGATCCCTTCTCATTTTTACAAATGCCATTGCCGCATATCTTTGGCTGAAGTACACATTCGTCCACATCGTTGGCGCAATTACGTCCCGTCCAGCCACGTGCACACGTGCACTCGAAATCCCCATTGGGCAGATCTGCACATTCGCCGCCGTTTTGACAGGGTTGGGTGGCACATTGATTGCAGACCTTATCGGGCGGGCATATGCATTGATTTTGGGCGCATATCATGGGCTCCTGACAGTTGAGGGGACTGCAGCTCTCGGCCTTTTCACAACGATCACCAGAGTAGCCGACGGCACAGTAGCAATGGGTTCCATTCATGGAGCAGGTTCCGCCATTCAGACACTTTCCATTGGTGGCATTACAATTGATGGGCGTGAGAGCCAAGGCAGAGGCTCCGCTGGCGTCTCCTACGCTTTGCTGGCAGTTGTAACCTAGAGGTATATTACTTTTTAGTAACGTTTCAGGACTCTGCGTATAAGGATTGCAACTGTACTTTGTTCGTTATTTTTAGTACTAAATGCAAAGCATATAAAACAATACTACTTCACTAGGTACGATATACTATATTATATATATATATACAGTTAGAATAGGAATATATGCCAAACCTGTGTATCCACTAGCACATATACAGGTATAATTGCTACTATATCCTATACAGGTGCCACCATTCAAGCAATTTTCTTGGGGACATGCATTCAGTGGGGCTGAGCGTTGACTGGGTGGAGGTGGTTGTTGTTGTAGTTGTTGTGGTACTGGCTGTTGCTTATTACTAACTGTTGTTGTTGTTGTTGTTCTTGTTGTAGATGTTATTGGAGTTTTTGTGGTTTTTGTTGTTGGAGTAATAGTAGTGGCTGAACTTATTGAACTATTAGTGATAAGCAGTGGAGCGGTTGCTGTTCTTGTTGTTGTGGTTGTTGTTGATAATAGTTCTGGTGTCGGTGTGGTTGATATTGGAACACAATGGCCAATGGGGCCTGTTTTGGCGCACATTGAAGTTGGTAGTAGCAGTATAGCCAATAGATGCATTTTGGGGCATACCAAGAGAGCATATACAATTTATATATTTATAAAGGGATTAGGTATTATTAGTGAGCAGTTCAATATATACAAATAGTAATGCTATTGGGGGTTTTTAATGGAGTGTATACGGATGTTTGCCAAAGCTATGCAACTTAAGACTAATCAAGCGCCGCCGCACCACCTACTTAGTTTTAGTTCACAGCGCTTGCGTTTAAGCCACTCGGGCGATATGTAACGCTTCTTCTTCTCGCTGGCACACAGCGTGGACGTGAATAGATCCTCGAATGCAGTTGGCAGTTCCGTAATAGCGGTAGCTTTTAAGTTAGATTTCAATTAAAGCCCATGCAAACCCATTCATTGTAAAGATAAACCCAGCAAAGCGAGTCATGCACACCATGAACCCAAATTAAATGCAATATCTCTAAACTAGAACTAAGAAGGACTTACCCGTGGTGCCTGGCTTACACACACAAGTGCCGCCAATGCACTCCGAATCAATGGGACACTGCTGTGCACAGCGGGGACCCAGTTGGCACAGTTCGCCATTGTATTCTGGAGGGCATATGCATTGAAAGCCAATTGGTTTGTCCACACAGGTGCCACCGTTCAAGCATTGTTGGGTCTGGCAGCTGATCGGCTTTTCGCAGATCTCTCCACCCCATCCATCCAGGCACTGACAAGTGTACCATCCATAGGTATCAAAGCAGCGGGCTCCATTCAAGCACGGACTCTTCTCGCACTCATCGATGTTTGTCTGACAGAAGGCGCCTGTATATCCCGTGCCTGTGCAGTCACAAGTGAATCCATTGATCCGATCTATGCAGCTTCCATTGTTCTGGCAGGGCTGAGATGCGCACTCATCCATGTCGATTTCACAGCGAGCTCCCGCATAGCCTTTGGGACACTCACAGGCTATGGTGGAGATGCCAGCGAGCACAACACAGGCACCATTATTCAAACATGGATTATTCTGACACAAGGGATGTATGTTGACCTCTGTCTCGCAATGCTGCCCACTGTGATTGGCATCGCAGAAGCACTGATAATCTCCACGAGAGTTTTCGAGACAGCTGCCACCATTGGCACAGGGATTCTTAGCGCAGGGCGAGCCATTATCCTTCTGACAGTTCTTCCCAGAATAGCGCGCCGTACAATGACACTCGTAGCCCTCGGAACTAGATGTGCAGGTGCCATGACCCATGCACGGATCGTTCAGGCAAAAATTGTCCTGTGGGCGGGTGAGGAGGTCGTGATCACTACAAGGTCCTTGCGTTAGCGGACAAGGGCCAAAGACGGCATTTTGCACTGTCATGGAGCCATTGATAAATTGCAGGCCGGGTCCATCGAGCAAACAACCAGAGAAGGAATTGCCCAATATTAGGATGGCAGCTTCGTTACCAATATCCTGATTGGTAAGAAACTGACTGTTGTATGTAGAATTGGCTAAAAGAATAAACATGAACGTATTATATTAAATAATACTCGCAGAAGGAAGAATGTTAAGCCACACAGATAATAGGGTTAAATTTCAGATTATTATCTAATGCGGGATAAATTAAAAAGGATTTTTTTTAATTAAATCTTGCATATATATAGAAATTTTTTAACCAAGTTATGTAGAATATTTTTGTCGCATAAAATTATAAACTTAAGTTTTTAATCTGGATGTGCAGGGTAAAATTATAACCAAAGAGGGTGCAAGAGTCCATACAGAAAGCAAAAGTAAAGGAAGAAACAATGGTTCTTGTGCTAAAGCCTGTATACTAGACACATAGTGGCAGTTCTTAGATAGTGATACTGGATAAAAGCAAAAGATCTCTTAGCTATCTATCTTTTGCTTTTTATTTCGATAATAGAAGATACTATTGAGTGCGGATGTTTCGATAGGCAATGACATCTTTTAGAATGGAATCAGTGCAGCCGAAATATTAAGAATATTGCAGAACGCTTTTGATAATTATATTAATTATGTTATATGTCTTATGACCGAAGAGGCGTTGAAGACGAACCACATTCGAGACAACCATCAGCTGATGTAGTAAATCTAAGAATTGATGCTACAAATGTTCGATTGAAAATTAGAGACATTGCTAGGTAGTCTTTTTATGGGATCGGTCAACGCTATTTAAAAAACGGTTGTGACTCGTAAAATTCAAATCTCCAAAAACACTACCAAAACTCATTGACCTCCGTGTGAGTTCTGATTATTTAATAAATTGACACGTTTTAGGAGATTTAAGCCGAATCGAAGAATTATTTCGACGATTGAAAAAAGCGTTGTGAAATATATAATAAATACTCTTAAGTTTGGTTTGGGAGTTTTATAGGTGCACTTACCAAATATGGTGGACGCACGATCCACATGCAAATACAAATTTCCATATTCGTATTTGAATTGCAGCGTGTGCCAGCGATTGTCCAACAGCTGATACGACATCTTCACATCCAGTCGATTGTTTGGCCCAATGACAGCGGGTCCGGCCAAAGATACTTGTAGAAAATCATTGAGCACTGAGATTACAATTGAGTTTTTATTGTATTGCTGAGCGAGTATTTCGCCGCCGCGGCAAGATCGAAAACTAATTGCCGAATGATCCCAAATGGGCATAGGAGTCAGCAGGCGCAGGTAAGCGGAACCATTGAAGTATGCCTCCTTTGTGTGCACTTCCACCGAGGCGACATCTGGAAAGATAAAAAGAAAGCCTTAAGTTTGAGGAAGTCACTAAAAAGTACAGAGGCAGCTGACCCAATGCACCTAAAAGGTTGACAAGGCCAGAAGTGGCCAACCGAACCGTTTTGCTAATCGCATTTGATTGCAATACGTTTAGCAGATACACACACACACACACACAGACAGACAGACAGAGAGACAGACAGACACACACCAAGTGAGAGACCCTCACCGTATTTGTAACCGTAGACTTCCTCATTTGGCGTGTTTTTTCTTCATTTTTTGTGCCTCGTCTTATTGGGAACAGTTGCGGCAACGACAATTGGTTTACTTTGGCTTACATTTGCAGCTTTTTACGCGGCTAAGAAAGTGTTTGAACTAGCATTGACCAAATTAGTCAAGTTGCCGGCACAGCACTCTGAGCAATTGGAACCGCCCCGCCCCGCCCCACACCCACCTCCTCCAACCGCCACTGCCCATTTCATGGCAATGATTCGGATGTCTGTGCCCGCGCATTACAACTTTCATTTGCGCTGGCGGCGACGCAGAATCATTTCCCTCATGTGCGTGTTTTGGCACACAACATAAGCGGGCAACAACAATACATCATAATAACAACAACAACTTGAAACAATGCCAACAACCAAGTAGGTATGGATTTTTCAAGTGTTTCTCTTAAGGTTTTTGCTTTTCAAAATAAACAACAAAAATTAACGAGCTGCTGGCTTTGGCTTTTTGAAGTGCGCAAAGCGTAGAAAAAGTTAAATCAAATATAAGCGGCCCTGTAAACGATCAATTAAACGAACTTTATACACCCTAATATAATTTACCACAAATATACGATTGGAATACTTGTAAAAGTCATGCTAAAAAGTAGTTTCACAAATCCATTCTGAATCCACTCTGTGCTTTAAAAAATCTTCATTAAAAATAGGCACACTTATCTAAAATTTATAATGTAAATTCTGTTTACTTAAGCTGGCTTTTAGACAGGGCTGGGAAATGAAAAAAACATTCAGAATTTATTTAATTTAATTTAAAATACTCTTTGTTTTGTTTACTGTCTAATAAGACCGGTTGAGTGAGAATTTCGCCCCACGAGGTTAGCCCACATTATATATTTTGCTTAAAATCAAACATTTTTATTTATTTTATATTTATATTTTTTCAAAAAATATTAATATAGCTCAAAAAGTATTAAAAAAACAACTTAAAGCATTTTGTCAACATTTTATAAAACAAATATAGAATTTACAGGATACTTCAATATTAAATTTTCCTGATTAAGTCGTTTGAGCTGTTATAATTTTTCGAATCGAATCGAATTTAAGTTCATCTTGGGTTTTATAAACATTTCAAAAATTCAACAAAACGTTTTTTTTTTCGACGAACACTTATAATAGGTCACTGGCATTGTCATATAAGTAAAAAAGAAATGATTTTAAAATAATTATCGTAATATAAATTATTTTACTTTTAAAATTATTACAATTGAATTGCAGATTAAGAATATTGATGATCATGAATGAAGCAAAATTAATAAACAATTATTCCAATTAATAGTACATAAGTAAAGATAAATAATATCCCTCACAATATCGATGATACCTTTATAGACACACTCAAAGTTTCGCTTAATCACAGACGAGAGTTATAAAATATAAAAAAACTGAGTTATCATTTGTCATTCAAAGAAAAAATTGACTTTATTTGGTTTTGATATTAATTGATCATACGAAAGAGGCAAGAGCTATGTTTGGGGACTTCAATGATTGGTTTCACGTTTTTCGTTACAAATACGTTCAGCGAGCGCTTGATTTGTATGCGTGGTGTGGCTTCTACTGGACTATGCCAAGGTATGTAATATGAATTGTGAGTATATGGATCTAATTAAATATTCTCATCGCTGAACAAAAAATATCATGTATCAAATATTAAGAAGACAGTCTATAACAATTTCCGGCCTGACCGAACTTTTTTGATTATTTTTAGTCTAAAACACAAATTTCCGGTATGTATGTAAAACTAGAGTTGTGTAACCGATTTTATCCCTTTATTAGATCAACGATTAAAAGTCAATTGAACTATTAACAAAATACTATTCTTCTTTAGTTATGATAAGAGGGCTGAAGAGTTGATTTGATAAACATATATTTATATATTAGTATCAAAAGACAATATTTTGATGAGTTTGAATGTATTTGCTTTCCAAAAACTTTTGTGTGCCGAGAAAGTGGAAAGGTACGAGTGTTATATTAAATAGTTAGAAAGGCTTCATCTGTTTTCTCGGTTCGCACTTTTCAATAAATATCTTAAGGTCAACCTGAATGCATATTATTTTTGAAATGCTAATTATTTTTGTTCATATTCAGCCACAAATTTAATACACAATGCTGAGCGTTTTTCCTCTTCCTGCTCTTTGGATGGCGTAACGAAAAAACAAACAAACAAACAAATCAATCTCTTAAAGATTTACGTGCAGTAGTGGTTTATTACTTGTATTATAAAATTGTTGCCCATTTCAATGGCAAGTTAGACAAGTACTATATACAAGGGCTTTCACATGCGAGTGTGTTTTGTTTGTTTGCCAGAAATATTTTGCCATATAGTATGTTAAATGTACATACATATATACATCGGAACGAGTATGTTGTATGTAAATAAAAAGATGAAACGAAGAATTTGTGGTAAGTGCTAAGTGGCATTGGTGCTAATAGGCGTGTGTTTTATTATAAATCTCAAGTACAAATACAAGCGTGTACATATAGTATAAAAATGAAATCAAATACACGTAAACTTTATGCAGTAGTAGATGTGCATTGGCCATGTCGCAGCCCTCAAAGAAATCGCAAAACCTTCTGTTCACTTCAAAACAAGCATTTCAACACCTGCCGAGTGAACCCTGCGTTGCCCTTTGAGCTGCCCCGAGCATCTAACCCCGAACCTGGTCTCCCGACTGCTCGACTTGCGTTAGAAACCGCTTAGAAAATGCTCGCGAAACGTTCGGCAGATCTCGAGTCCGCCAACACCCCACGCGTACTCGTAGTACGCTGTTTGAAAACATTATGAGGCCATCGATTTTGTCGCGTCGTTTTTCAAAACATTTTATTTTGTAGTTAAAGGCGATTTGGTCTGCTGCTATGCATGTGCACCGACATGGGCTTGGGCAGCATTTTGTTGCCATTGGGTTTGATTGTATGTCAGATCCGTGCCCCTCTTCTGACCAGTCCGTCCAAGCTTTATGCGCAGTCGTCGGTAAGTACGAGTAAGTAAGCCGTAAGTAAAGTAGCTCATAATTATATTATACTCACGTACGAAACTGTGCAGAAAAATTAATACTTTTTAAACAGTCAGCGACAAAAATGCCATTTAAAAAAGAAAAACAAAAACTATTACTCGCACATATGAGCGTATGTAGGAATGTATGAACAAGATTTATATGTAGACTTGAGCTTTTGAATAACAGCATTGTGCCTTTTGTGTGTTCGGGCCGTAAACGAACGGAACGGAAATTTCATAATCGTAAACGCACAAAATGGCAAAAAGAATTTTTTTTTGTGCAAGTCTCGTTTTTAGTCGACCAGCCGGGCGGGCAGTTGCGGCAGTTCGACTTATGAATGACTCGACGAGACTTTTAGCGGGGCTATAAAAAGAAGCTAAAGCAAAAATACTGTGAAGAAACAGTTGTTAATAGCTTTTGAGCCAGAGCGTAGAGGCGGAGAAGAGACATTGCTGCTCAGACATTTTTGAGCGCTAATGATGTATATGTATTGTTTATTATTATATGATGAGTCAAAAATTGTATGGTTTTCGTAGAAGTTCAAAAAATTAATGCCCAATAGAGTCTATCCTAAAAATTGTTCACAACCAACATCGATTTACTTCAGTCATATGAGTTTAATTCCTTATGTACTCTTTTCTCCTCTATCGTATGCAAATAGGATGAAGTATAGTTAAACGGTATTACATTTTAGTTATAATTTAGTGAATGTGTCTTACATAAAATTAATAAACAATAAAAATAATTTTAAATCGACTTGGGGCCAAGAAATAAATGTTGTATGCGATTTAACATATCTTACATTATCAAAACCAGATAGAATGCTATAGTCGAGCAAGCCCGACGATGTAATACACCTCTACTGGATGCTGCAGTTTTCGGGATGAGTATTACAGTAAAATTGTATCACTTATAACTTTTTATTGACTTTATTGACTTGGGTGAAATTTTAAAAGGAAAGTCAAGAATTGTAGACACTATTGACAAATGATTCTGTACCCAGGAAAGGGGAAAAAGACAAAAAAAAAAAAGAAATAAAATAAAATATATACATATGTATATACCTGTATTATAACATTTTATTCCTCGATTGTCAGCCGAATGATCATTATTAAACTAGTATGTACATACTTTTACTTTTTGGGAAAATTTTATAAAAAGCTGCTTAGGACATGAGCAGTCACTTTAATTTTGGTTGGAGTTGTAAATAAATTACAAGTTCATTTTCCATTTTTCCTGGTACTATTAATTTTATTGCGTTTATATAGTCTACTCTCTTTTTCTAAAGCAACCGAAAATGTTCATTTTATGTTGATAACCTCGAACTTTATAGGGTTCTTTGTATTAGAAAGCGGCTGAAGTGGAAGTGTTTGCTTGATTTCGCCAAATAGTTAATGATCTCAGGAAGTGCAATAAGTAAAGTCGAATGCAGAGAATGACAAAAAGTTGTTACGGATGGCAATCCACAAAATCTTGATGATGAAATACGATTTTACAAATGTTAAGTTACATCATTAATCAACGTACAATTGTTAGTTACTTTCTACACATTATTGTACCTATATACATACTAATTTACGTTCACTTTATTGGCTCAGCGCTTAGTCTATTTAACATATGCACGAAAGTACAAACTACAATACAATGTTCATATGGAAAAGTGTAAAAAATAGAGAAGAGATTTATGCAAATGTCATGCCAAGTTGTGCCAAATACAAATACAAATACAAA